AGAATTCCATCACCTAGGAGCAACATAGCAAATTCTTTTTTTTTTTAATTCTTCCTACTCTTGTGCAAGTTAAATGTAGGTAGTTTAGGGGTATTATTAAATATAAAGCCAGTTCTCTTTGATTTCAGTAACAGAGTTTGCATTGTACAGGTGGAGACAAAAAGTCCTCTAAATGCATATTCTGGCTGGCAGTGATCTAATGTAACAGGGTAGATACTATGATTTTTTTCTATGAAGACAAGACCTTCATTCTTTTAAATATGCTTACAACTTTTTCTATAGGTGTAAATAACACTTGTAGAGGGCATCACATGATAGCTTAGGTTTTGCAGTAAAATAAATTAATCAAACCTCTGACAGCCTAAGTGTATCTCTACTCTGAATTTTAGAGCAGAGGAAACTGTTTTGGTGTTGTAGTTCATTTGGCTTTGTTGGCTTTTCTGCCTCAGAGCTGGTGTACCACATGTCCATTTTTTCCTAAGCTGTATTTGAACTCTTCTCCCCTTCAGATGCTTTGTAACCTAACTACCCTCAAATGAAGCAGTTCATTTATTCCATGGGCAGCGCAGGCACAAGTGTGAAATCCCTTCAAACATTATGGGTTTAACTTTTTTATAGGGGGCATTCCATTTGGAGGAATAAGTTGCATTTACCTTTTGCATCTGAGTTTTATGAATGATATATAAATGTTGTTTACTGTTAAAATGGTGCACAGTCTTTCTGTAGTGTCTGTTTCATTTGAGTAATTTAAAAAGAAAACCACTAAAACGATGTTACCGCTGGGTGTCTGATTGCCAAGTTAATCTCTTATCACAAGTCCCATTGATCTTCTGTTTGAGCAGCTGAGAGTCTATTTTATGTATAGTGATCTTTCATAAAGTTTATTCCTGGTAATAAAGCTAACTGGGGTGAGTGCCAAGCTATTCTCAGAGGCAATCCACTCTCAACAAGAGGAGGATTTTATTTTGTTAGATGGGGTTATTGTTTGGGTATGTACTTGTGGCAGAACTGGTGAAATTGCTAGCGAGTGAGTCAAACTGGGTTCAGAGGTGTACTCTTACTGGTATGAAGTTAATGGCATTACTGCACAATAGACATTCAGATCTGGCTTTTAATATGATGCCTAGAGTCACGTGCATTTTCTACTTATTACTATGTGGTATTACTAACTTGGATTGTTGATCTCTTCTGTGGTGTGGCAAAAACCTTTATAAAAGAACCCAAAACCCCACCACAAAACAACAGAAAAAGCACTCCACCCTAGAATTGGATATGTATTAGTCGCATTCAATATTCTTATGTGTAAGAGGAAGTAATTTTAGTTCACAGAGAACACCAGTACTGGTTTCTCTGAAATTATGTTGGTTTTCAGATTTTTTAAATCTTTCTTCTAATAGCATTTGTGTTGATGTCATTAGTGTCTTCAAACCAAACATACCTGTAAATTAAAAAAATATAATTCAAAATATTAGTAGTTAACTTTGAGTAAAGTTACTTTATGAAAAGTCAAATTTTATTTTTAGTAAAGTGTGCTTAAGCTATATTCCAGAGTTTCTGAAGTATTGCTGTGTATTCAGGAGAGTTTAATAGATGGCAGGGCACATGTTCCTTTAAACCAATAGTTAGTTAATATTCCTGCAGCCGTATGCCACTTTTGGGAAGCCAGTGGTAGTTTCGTATAGCTCTATGCAAATGCTTGACATTGCAAGGACTGGTTACAGGTCCTGTGGTCTGTCTTGTTCAGCTCTTGTCTAAAAGCTGAACTCATGGGGGCTGGCACCTGCCTTCTAGGAAACCAGTCTCAAGCTATCTTGTCTCAACCTGTTGTTGCAGTAAATTTTAAATTACTGGCCAATATCTTCTCCTCCTGCTCTGGTGACCTGGATATACTGGAGTTCTTACAATTACTCATGGATGCAAGGGGTAAATGCAGGTGCAGATGGTGACAGGATCACATGGGTGTGCCCATCTTGCACACAGCACCCTTGGGATGGTAGGGGAGTGGGGCAGGATTTGCAGCCCAGGTATTGAAATACCAAGCTGAGGAAGTAGATGGCATGCTGGGTCCTCAGTAGGAGGGAAGAGAGCAGAGGGATGCATTGTGCCCTGGTGTATGCCATGAACTAGGATGCTGGAGGGAATAAATTGTGTAAATCTTTAGTAACTTCTGTCATGCTCAAAGCAGGTAGTGATGTCTCAGAACTACCTGAAATAGCTCTCATTGAAATTAGGGAGACAGGTCACTGCTCAAGCTGCTTTATTGGGCTCTTAGCAGATTCAGTCAGCCTAGCTACATCCATTGCTCTTTCCACCTTCCAAGAGATGTGTTTACCATCAGTCATAAAATTTAACCTTCCATATAATTTCTTCTTGGAATCAGGAGAAAAGCACACAAAAAAACTGGAACACACTTGTATCATTCAGTAACAGATTACTCTCCAAAGAGAAAGGATACATTATTATATACATATAAACAGACTGGAGAAAAAGGAAGGGGAAATGTCTATTATTTTAACTAATATTAACTGTTTGTAATCATGGTGGGAACAGACATTGTTTTCCTCTTACTCCTTGTCTGTCATTCGAAGTTACTGATTTATTTTCCAATAATTGGCAACCAACTGCAAGTGGTAGGTGGTCTGCTTTGCTGCCCTGCTTGTCCTGTGGTGGTCTGGATGGTGGCTTGGTGTGAAGATCTTTGCATGGTAACACAGAAGCAGCTTAGCTTTACCCAGGCCATTGTACTATTGGAGCCACTGATACCACTTGTTAATCAGGGTGTATTATAGAGCATCAAAGTGTACAGATTAATAATTACAACTAATGATGTCCTTATGTCATGGATGCTTTGAGCTGAAAAATGTGAGTGTGTCAGTAATTTAAGCATCAAATAAAAGCCTGTATTTTAAACTATTTAGAGAGTCTTGTAAGACCTCTGAATCTCCTGGCACATAATGAAATTGAACAGTGTTCTCTGGCAGCTTTGCATTATTGCTTTGAAAACATGTATTTTTATCTGAAGCATTGTTCTAAAGTCAAACTTCAGGTGTTTTTAGGTTTTTGGTTGGTTGGTTAATTGGGTTTTTTAACCCAGGTTAATTCTTTTCATATGGAACTTCTAATGTTGGATTTAAAACTCAATGCTAGTCTACACTGATTTTCATTTTTTTTTATATTGGATCAAATCAGGATTTCCTCTACAGAAAAAATATTTATTGTATGAATACCTTACACATAAATTTGGAAATAAAATACTGAAATGTTTGAGCTAATTAGAAATACTTCTAGTATAGAACTGACAATGTTGAACTTTTACTAGAATAGTTTAAAATGTAATGCTGTTTTTCACTGGCTGAACATTGCTTTTGTCATATGTGTCATTTGACAGAGGTGACTGTAGATGAGAAATAGTCCACTTGAAATAAACGGTTATTTCTTTAAAATGTAAAGCTTGTACTTAGCAACTGATCAGCAATATGCTGTCTCCTGTACTGATACAGCTTTATTGCATAGAAGAGAAAACCCGTATATTATCATGAAGCCATTATGGTTGATCTGTCTGGGACTTATTTAGCAAGTAAGAATGTTAATTTAGTGTATACTGGCTAAGATAACTAGTTGTCTGGGGGGGTCAAGGTACTGACTTCAGAGGCATTTCTGAACAAAGATGTTGCAGTTGGTGGGTGGATGGCACTGGTCTCAGCTGTTGTATGAGCTTGCATAAATAGTATCATCTCCACTTTAATCTTTCGGGTGTTCAGAGGTAGTGTGCATATTTCTCTTTAACCCCTGGACACTTGCTGGCATGCATGACCCTTTAACAATTCCTATCCCTCTGTCCATCCCTAGCACCTTGGCTCCAAACAGTCTGGGAGGATAGCCAGTAATTGTGAAGTTTTTTGTTAAGAACATCTCTTTAACAAAAAGATGTTTTCATTTCACTGGTATACACTTTCTATTGTACTTGTTACAGTAGTGTATGGCACACTTCTGAAGTACTGCTTGCATCTCCAGTGAGCAATACTTACTCTCTTTTGTGTGCAAAGATGGGTTAACAGATATTAAAACCAGTGATGATGGTTACTGGCCTTTGGCATCAGGAAAAAAACCTTTTTTTTTTTATTTAAGAAAACAGCAACAAAGGCTGGAGCCATGTGTTTCATAAAGAAGGTTGACTGTTGTGTTTTAGGATAGGCATTTGATTTACCTTACGTTAAATTTTGAGAATGAAAAGGATACTTAAACCTTCGACTTTCATGAATCTGTCTCTGTGAAATTACCATGCCTTTTTCTCACTGATTTTTATATTGCTTCGGAGGCATTGTTTTGTAAGAGTAATCTTAAAGATTATTTCTGAGGCTTGTGGATATTGTGCTTTGGAGGGAAGTATCAAAGACCTTTCAAAAATCAGAGGTTTCTGTGGATTCCTCTCAATTTTTTTTGACGAGGGAGAAGGAAAAGATGTAGACGGTGTATTATCGCAAGTGTTGCTTTTGACAAACTTCTGTCACTTCTAGTGCTATAAATTTAATCATTATCAAATACCAACATGGTAAGTGTAGCAAATGCAAAGAAGGGCCAAAACAAACCTCAAAGTGATGTGACCTGAACTATTAGATCAATTGAAATAAGTGGAAAGAATCTTCCCTGAAACTAATACCTGTAAAGCCTTGTGCACAGAGAGAGAAAATAAACGGCAAGGCTGGAAAATGGTTTGCAATAAGTTGGTTTCTGTTTTGTAGTGAAGACTGCACAGGTGCCAGCTTTGATATAGCTCAAATAATTGAGTTTCTTTTGTGTAAGATGGAGCCCTGATGATTCTGGAGATGGTTCATCCAAGGATCTATATTCCTGAAATTTTGACTTGTTTAGTTTGTGTTAGAAGGAACGGAAGCAATAGTCATATTAAAATGCTAATAAAAAAATTGAAGGACACTGTAGGTGCTATTACATTATTGGACATCTTTTAGTTATATTATTCCCCCTTATTTTTTTTATAGCAAACTTTGGCCTGTTCCATTCTAACGGCGTTGTTGAGCGAGTTCTCAAGTTCAAGTAAAACCAGCAACATTGGACTAAGCATGGAGTTCCATGGTAACTGTAAACGTATATTTCAGGTAAACTAGTTCTGTATTGATATATGATACCTCTCTTTCTAAAATTTAAACATTGAGAAGCAGAAGTACTTTCCTGTGCCAGGTGCATTCAGGTGCACTGTGTCTTTAAAAGCATTTATTAGAACAAATACTACAAAGGCAGATACTGGCTACTTCAGGAAAATTGATAATGTATTTTTAAAAAACCTGTATCAAGAAGGTGCAATCCCTTTGTGCCCATTTTGTGAATGTAGAGCTACAGATCTTTATGCGGTTGGGCTCTTAATTCCTTGGCTACCAATTGCAAACAAAACGAATACTCTGTGGAACAATGATAGTCTTAAATATAGCTTTGGTTTAAAGCCAAGGAGAGCTATGTATGTATTTAAAAATATTATTGCAGATGGTGTAGTCTGGTTGTCTCAGATGTATTGTTTGGCCAGTCAGAAATGTTTTCGTGAAGCCATTGCTTTAAACTGACTGTTGTGGAACAACTTACCAACTTTTTTTCATGCCAAAGACCAACTCTTTTCCACCAGTTATTTAAAAACATATTGTTTTTTAATCTTTTAATAAATGGCATTTACAGAAGATTTTTTTCATAGTCTTTGCAAATGTAATCAATTGATTTTGGCAAAAGGAGGGAATTCTCACTGACAGCTTCAGAATATTTTCTGTATTGTAATGAAAAATAGGGTGAAACCAGAAAATTATTTTCTCTTTAGAAAAAATATTCCTTTTTAATCAGCATTTTAATTAATGACTGAGATACTCAATATATTGTGTTCGTCCTGACTATAGGAGGATGATCTGCGGCAGATCTTCATGCTCACGGTAGAGGTACTTCAGGAATTCAGCAGACGTGAAAACCTCAATGCTCAGATGTCTTCAGTGTTTCAGCGTTATCTTGCACTAGCCAATCAGGTCTTAAGCTGGAACTTCCTTCCTCCAAATTATATCCTTTTTATGTCAGGACCTTTGTTTCTGTTGACTTGGGTCACTTCCTACTGCGTGACAAGTAAAGTCTTTGAAAGGAGAGAAAAAAGTAAAACTTTATAAACCTTATATTTAGTCCTTGATTTATATTTTCTTCCATGAGTGCTTTTGGTCACCACCATGCTTGCTAACAGAAGCTGCTGTTGCTCTTCATTAAAGTTTTAAAGTATTTTACATAAAAGACAAAACAAACAGAGCAGCCCTGTTACAGGTTCATGGTCTGTCTGGTTTGGTTCAGGGTTGAGGAAATGTGTAATATGCTGCTTTAGTGTAGAACCATACGGTGAAAAGTCTAAGTTCTGTTTAATTTTTATGCAGAGATCTGGTCTGTCCTACTTTTCTTCCTCAGAAGAGAAAGGGGCAGGCAAATGTCCGATCATCTAGGAACATGCATGCTCAACCAACTCCCCATAAAAGAGCATGGTCGTATACTAGAACATAAAATAGATTCTCTTCAGTCTGAAAAAAAATGTTTGATAGCTGAGAGAAGAAATGGCATCTCCTTTTTATGCAGGTGCTTCCACTGCTTCCATTTTGACATTTTTGTGATGTGTGCTGATTATTAGTCCAGAGAAAGGTGGAGTTGGACAGTAGAGGAGGAAATGGGAATCAGAAGGAGAAAGGGTGTTAGTGAGGGAGAGAAGGAAAAAGATACAAAAATGTTGAGTCCAAAAAATGGGCTAGATGAATATTGTAGAAATATTTAATTACACTCTGTATTTAATAGAGATTTAAGACAGTGTATATAGTACATCATTATAGTACCTCTTTTAATAGCCAGACTGTCTTTAAGAAGCTCAACAAACCTTGCAAGAGCCAAATTTTTGATCTGTTTTATCAACTTTTTTATTAAAATGTTTAAAATTGCTACCAAGTTATACATACTGCAGGAATCTTGATGTTGCCTTCAAATACACTGTGAGGGATTTTATTTGCTTTCCTAGTGTGGAAGTCAGAAGGTGATATCTCTGAGGTTTTGTTTTCTTTGAGTCTGTTCATTTTACTGCAGGCAGCAAAAGTAAATTTATTTGAAACTGGATATTCCTTAGTTCACATCTGTAAAGCAGAATACCAGTTATATTGGCTATACAGAAGGTGCCATGGATTAAAAGTAAATACCCTGCTTCTGTTTGTCCCTGAAGTGATTTGGAAGAGGTTCAGAGAGGAATTTAGTGCATGTGCCTACAAGATGGACACTGTAGTCAAATTATTGCACCTTATAAAAGTTTTTGGAAGTGGATTTGGGATTTGTAAGAATTCAAATCATGTGTGAACACTTCTTCTAAGCTGTAATCTTAAATAGAAGGGAAATGCTTTTGTGTTGTGCAGTGGTGATTCCCTCTGAATTTTAGTCTTGCTCTGTACAAACCTCTGATGTAGTCCTAAATACTGATCTTGTTACAGTTTGAAGTGAAGGCTATAGTTCTTCATGAGCTCTTTATCCCAGGCTAAGGTTTGTAGTGGTGGAGCTAAATAGATACAAGTAAGATGGTGAGCCTTGGGAGTTGTAGCTTTTCTTTATACATCCGTATAAATGAAGTTGATTTAGTCTGTAGATAGATGCTACTAAAGAAGTGTTAATAGAAATAGCAATGCAAGCCATACTGCTTCTTAAGGTTAACAATGTTTTCTGCTACTTGACCTACTTTAGATACTACAGTTGTTAGACAAATTCTGGCCATTTCTGGAGATTGGATGGACCTTTAGTGTGAACCACAAGTGCTCTTAATGAGTCTGTTTCAAATATTTTCATAATTTCTGATCCGTTTGATACCAACTTTTTGTTTTCTACCACTGGATGTTTCATTTTGCAGTAAGAATTTCAGCACCAGCTTGGGTCTTCCTGCTCTATGTAGCAACCTGTTTTCACAGAAGTTGGAATGTCCTCAATCATCCTTGAGAAATGTGGGTCTCAGCTGCCAAAGATTCAATACCTGTTGGGGTTTACAGCACCATGTTGACTGTATTGTGGCGTAAATCTCTCTTCCTTAAGAAGACTGGTTTAAAAGTAACTGTTAATTGTTAGCTCATGGGCAGGGAAACTTGGCTGTAGTTTCTAAATACGTAGCACATTACATGGAACGTAAGAATTGCTGTGTTGATTGACCGCTTGGCATCCTTTTGGTATCCTCTCTCCAAATCTTGACAGTACATGTGCTGAAGCCATGGGAATAAATTTAATACTCGAAGCATGGAGTAAATCGATCCATTGTATCCTCAGATATATCTTTTTCCTTTAGTTGGTATTTCCCCTGGCAAGATAGTATTAATTCTCAGTATTCCCTGCAGCATCACAGTGATCTGCAGTATATTTATGCAATCTTTAGTAAGATTCTTGTACCTTCAAAAAAGGGAAGTAACATAAATGTGCATTAACTGTACAGTGACCATTGCAAGAGGCAGGTTATTTAAATCCCCAAGTTTGAGAATTGCATCAAAACATAGCACTTCTAAAGAGTTCTGTGCTGTTATGGGACAAGTGTTATAGGATAAGTGTTGCTTTGTTAAATGCAGTCTTGGACAGTGCTGCCACCAGTCCTGACAGAAGAGTTGTAATAAGTCTGTATTGTCAATTGCCACCAGGAAAGACAAATTCTGAAATGGCCACCTCATCGGAGCAACAAAAGAAGAGAGACTGGGGTCTACCTACTTTCAAATTGGAACTCAGTATTTTTAAAGTGTCTTTGGATGTAGTGCCTGCAATAGGAAGGACATGGCACAGTGACCTTGGAGGCCTCCCTTTGGTCATCTGCAGTTTCTCCCATTTCATTTTCTGGCAATCATCTACTGTTATTTTTATGTGCTGCCTTGAGATACTAGTTCACCCGGTGTTTACGGCTGATTCAGAGATAGTCTGTTGTGGCATGTTGGCTTCTGTACAGTTTCTTTTTTTCAGTGCTGTTACAGTACTGTTAAATATTGTTTACTCAAATAGAACTAGTTTTAACTGCATCTTTTCTTAAATGAATGTTTTTATTAATTAAGGAAGTGCAGGTGATCAGTGTTAAGAGGTACAGCTGTCTCCTTTACAAGACTGCCTTCATCTATTGCACTAGATAGAAGTTCAAGCTCACTCCTAGTACATTGTGAGTACCCTAAGTCTCTAGTTAGGGAGCTGAATGTTGCTGGGTTTTAATGCACCTTGGCATGAACATGTATGTCCTGTGAAGTCAGGATGTAATTATAAATTATATTACTTTACGTCCAGAGACGTTTCTCCCATCTTCTTGATTTTGGGATTTCTCTGTTCTTGGCAGCTACATTCTAATGCGCTTTGGATGAATGTCCTCAAATGGAAAAGTTCTTCAGCAGACCATAAGATTTTTGTCCAGCTGTCTCCCATCTATGGACAGGTGTCTGTTATCTGTCATTAGGAGCTGTCATGGAAGTACTTATCCCTTGTTCTCTTTAATGTGTGGGTCATAGTACATAAAGAGAAGCTTGAGCTTTAGTTCTTGTTTTGGATTTGGTGCCTTTACTTGTTTGGAGGCAAGCTGGCAAATTTTCTAATAAAAGTAGAATAGGGGATTTAAAATGCAGGTTATGTAAACCTAATGAGTTGCACTGTGCTAATATGCATCATTGCTGTTCCATTGAAGTTAATGGTGCAATGGCAGTTGTATGAACTGACTGAAGCTTTTGTCTGATCTGAACATTTTTGTGTGTGTTCCTTGGCCGCACAGTTAAAGGAAGAAAGCTTTTCATATCTCTGTTTTGAAAATGTCTTTTAAACCTCAAGCCAGAATGAGACACCTGTCTGGGAGATTCTGTGAACCATACTGTTCTGCAGACTTTCAAGATCTGAACTCAGTCCAACCCAGATTGGAAGCATCTGTTGCACATAATGGAAGTGCATGAAAACCACACAGAATGCTCCAGAAAACTCGAGATTTTGTTTTAAGAAATTATTCATGTTGGCATTGCTGCTGAAAAAGCACCCTGCCTTATCACCTCCCATGAGCATGATACTGAGCAAGGAACCACCTGGCATGGGGGTGTTTTTTTAATCGGGTCATGGTCCCCAGCTTGATTTGTTGCATAGCTACAGAAAGGATTCAACCTGTACCAAAGAGTTACAACAGAGATTTCTTCAGCAGCACAGCTGCTTTTCATAGGCCTTGTTTTTAGCAGCCTGGAATTATCCTGAATTTACTACAACAGCCTGTCCTTATCTGAAAAATGAAGGGTTGGGGCATTGTCCTGGCTATTGTTTGGGATATAAAGAAAAATTCAGTGTAACTGAAATAGCTGTATTTATGAAAGTGCAAAAGAGAGCTGCATTTTACTTTTCTTAGACTTACCACTTTTAGGTGAAAACTGACCTGACTTTGAAATCCTTGATGTTTATAAATTATTTCTAGGGTACTACATGTTTTCTTGGCAATCCTTTCTAGCAACTTTTTAAGACAACATTGGACAAACCCAGTAAGATTGACGGGTCCCCTGAATTTGATCACAATTGCACTAAAGATACTTATATTGATACTGAACTTTTTAACTACTAGTCTTTCATCATTTAGGTTTTCCTGAATGAATTTTGAAATCAAGTTGCAATGTTAAGAGCATCTTTGTAATCACCATTTTTATGAAGGGGAACTGATGTTCTGCTTGCTTGCCCCAGTAGTTTAAGTTTCCAGTTTTTTAAAGATAGTCATCAGCATCCTAGATGGCAGCCTCTATGACTTGTAAGCTGCATCTGCATGGCAACTACTTGTGCATAGGTGCTTTAAATGCAAGTTAGGCTTGAGGTGATTAGCTTGCATACCATTAGCTGTATAACCATAACAGCAGAATGTACCAGGAACTGGAGAATCCACTTGGGTGGTCATGAGCCTTGGTTCTGGAATGGCTAAACTGCTAGAGGCTCTGGGATCGGCCAGGTTTAAAATTAGCTTGGGTGTTCCTACACTTCCTCCCCCTGTTGCTGCAATCTGAGTCCAGTGTCTCCAACACAAAATACTGTTTCATTCTCATGGTAGTTAAGAATATTTGTGTTTAATAATTAAATATTTAAGTATATATTCCTTGTCCTGGTTGCTGCATGTATTTGCTGAGAGTGTAAGGTATGGAAAGGTCTGTGAGGAATTTCTCCATAGGGGGCAGCAAGCCTCTGCATCAGTTTTAGGCAGTTGCTCCTTGGACTCATCCTATGTTCTTGGCTGACTAGCTAGAAAGGCAGAGGAGGTCTTAAAAATCCGAATAAAATCAGTATGTTAACAGTGTATGGCAGATCTCCAAGCACTTACCTTTCTAATACAGTTTTTTAATTGTAAAATACAAGTCTGAGACTGGCACAAAACTGTCCAGAAATATTTCAAACAACAAAGGTAAAGTGATTAAAATAACTTTTAAGAAAGATATTTGGACCTTAGCACTCCGGGAGCTTTTCCTCCATTTCTGAGATGTTCTTCACTCCTGTGGACAAATTTGTGAATGGGGTTCTAGCAGGAGAAATCTCAGCTTTGGTTATTGAGTTCCAAACTTACTGCTTTGTGGAAGAACAAGACTTGCCTCTCTTAGGAAAAAGACTGTGGGGTCCATTCTCAGATACTGGAATTTGTAGCAAGTACTGAAGTGAAACATTATAATCCCTCATGGCTGCCTTAGGATATGAAATATTTTGATATGCATCTTCACTGATCAGACCCTTCCTGGGACAGAGGCTAAGAGTGAGAGGAAAACTCCACATTTGCTGGTCTTTTATTTTCTTTTTCTTAATATGTTTCTCCAAGAAGCACATAAAACCTTGAACTTTGTTTTCTAAATTAGTTTTAAAAATTTGTAAGTTTAAAAAGACTACTCGTATTTTTCTAGCTCATGAAACAAAACCAAGCATAATGTCTACATGCATAAATTTAGCAAAGATAAAAGAAAATCTCTTTTTAAACATTATGGTCTTCTCCTTTTCCTCTCTAGACACTAATAGTGAGCATATGAGCCTTATCATACATGAAGGCATCTAGTTATATTCTTATGCTTTTCAAAAGCGTTTGGTTCATGTTATTGAATAATCTGTTCTGATTCATGCAGAAGATTCTACTGTCTGAAGGAATCAGTGCCCTAAGCCTTGCAAAATGGGTGAAACTTTGACATACTTCTGGTAGCTGTTTCCTAGCTTGAATTTCCATGTCATTCAACGTGAATTGTAGTAAGAGTTAATAGTTCCTCAGTTGAACTAGGAATGTTAGAAGCATTTGTATTATTACCAGAAGTGGTTTACAAATGTTTTTCATTTTAGAAACAAATAGAAAACCCCCCGAACTCTCCAGGATGTCACGGTAGACTGATCTCCGCTTATCATAAATCTCTGTTAAAAGTCTAAATCATAAGTCTAAGCTTGAGTGCTTAGAAAAAAAGTGTTGTTCTAGTACTGTACTTTTTGTTTCTTCATAAGTATTGAGAAGTAAATTAATTTTGGATGATGAAGACTGCATTTGTCCTGTGTAACCCATGTACTAGGTAATTAGTGCCATTTTTTTCAGATTTGGCATAACTGGAGTGCTGCTAATAAGGCTGAACCATAGCACAGTATAAACTGGGGTATTTCTTGGCAGCAAGCATCTCCACAGCCAACTTCTGGTAATGTTTGCATACATTTAGTATGTGATGGAAAATGGGTTCAAGATCTCCATTGATAGGTGGAGGCATAATTTGTGATGTTCAGTGAACAGATATTTTACCCACAAATCTCCTATTGTCAGATGTGTCATCAGTCCATTAGCGTGAGAAACAGGACTAAAAATAACAGGATAGGGCTGCTAAATAGTGAGCCTTGTTAAAATAGTGACAGCAAACCAGCCCTTCTTTCATTCCACATGAAAAGTGTTTTGTAGCTTATCCTCTCTGTGGGCTCAACCTAGCAAAGAACAAATTTATTTTAAGAGATCGATATTATATCTGTGATTGTCTTCTGATATTGGTATGTTCACAGCAAAGGGCATTCTTGTCAGTAAATGGTTTTAAAATACCATTTTGACTAAAACATTCCACATGAAAAGGAAAAAAAGGCATATCTTAATTTGCCAGGTAAAATTAGTTTTAATTTGTAATATTGCTCCTGATAAAGCATGTTTGCTTGTGATAATTTCATGCCCATATTTTAATTTTTTTTTTTCCACTGGGGAGAACCCCAAACCATTTTTGATCACTAAAATTGCGCCTGTCTCTCAGAGGGAAGTAAAATAGAAAGTTCTGTGATTTTTAGCATTTCTCCATTTGAAAGAATGCAGATCTGGTATGGTTCAACGTACACTGATAATTTTTAAAACTGTGAAACTGGTTTTGTTTTACACTAGTGTGAAAATATCTGATTGTTCTTAGGCAGTATAACATGCTGACAGAAGTTCTGGACACATAGCACCAGTGAAGGTACACTTGGTACTGTGCTGTGGAAAAAGCCCCTTTTTGGAATGTGGTTTTGCACAGTTTTGTTAGGAATTTTGTTTTGTGGCAGAACTCAGAAGACACATGTAACTAAACTAAAAGTGTGCATCCTACGTTTTGACACAATTCTTCTTATTAAACTAGATGCTTACTTTAAATATTATTCCCTCAAACAAAACCCATCAAAAGTTAAGGGGTCTACTTTCTTGCATGATACCCCTGTAGAATTTATTTTTTTTCTAGACATAGAAATAGGTTTTTATACACATTTTTTATAATACCTGATTACTTACAGTACAAAAGTTAATGCAGTTCGTTACCAGTAAGTAAATTACGTGCAGCTGAACATGCTGTTACTTACTCTGACGGTTGGGTTAGAAAGGGATCAAGAAGGATAATGTAGGGTTTAAGAAAGACAAATAAAATGTAAGTTGCTGAGTTAAAGCGTTTTTACTACTACTTGGATTGGGTGGTGTCACAAAAGGAAGCACTTCAGAAATCTTTGAACGCTCTTCTGCATGACCAGACTGACAAAGAATTGAACCTGCTTGTTTAAATATTTTTGCTTACGTCTGTTTTTTCTGTACTAGAACATTTGCAGAATTTTGTAAATTAAGTTATGCCAAAATATGTGGTGAGAGCTGAAATGAGTGCAGTAAAATGGCTTCACAGTGTGCTCATTTTTTACATGCATCTCTTACAAACATGTTTAATATGACGATGCCTTGTGCTGTCTAATGCTTTTGTTCTCAGTGTGATGAGAAAACGTAGATTCATGCAGAGCTAACATATCTGTATTCTGTGATGCGTATTTGGCTATTTAGAAAAATAGGATATAGATTTCAATGAGCTATCTTTAGCTATGGTAAGGCCTTTTTAAAAGCTGCCAGGAAAATTTTTTAGAAAATTATTTCCTATTTTGCATAAATTTTAACACCTGTTAATTGCGGTCGCTTTTTTCCCTTCTCGCTGTGTCGCATTAGACACCCTGGTTATCAAAGTGATCGTATCGCTATGGTATGTCTCATAATTATGATCAAACTGTTATCTAACATTCCTGGAGCATTCTTTTTTTCAATACTTAATACCTTTTATTCCTTGGCCTCATGCATGAATTATGCTGTGTATGTGAAGAGGCTTAAAGTTTGTTTCCATTACATTCTTTCTGAATGGATCCTGTTGTATCTAGGATTTTTTTAAAGCCAAGTAGGAATGTTATTGTTGACCTTGACACCAGATAACTGGGCAGACATTATATAGCTATGTTTGAATCCTCACAAAATGTGATGCTAAAGCCAACAGAATCCTGGCGCGAGACTCTCCTGGACAGCAGAGTTATGGAGCTTTTCTTTACAGTAAGTTTCTTTCTTCAACTTTCATAGTCCAGACCGCAGGGAAAGCAGCTCCTTCCTGTTCTAAAACTGTATTGTTGGACTCTTCCTTTTGCATCAGGTAGGACTGATTCTGTTAAATTCAGCTTGCTTATCAAAGCAGACAGAAGGATTGTCTTTTTCCTGGGTTTGAATATATATTTTGCCTATTAATTGTTTTAAATTGATAACCATTAGCTAAAGAAAAAGGTATTATAGTTATCTAAACTTTTTTACATTTAATACTTTTGGACGTATTCTCATCAGACAAAACCAAGCCTGATGAGTAGTAGTAGAGTATATCTTTCAGATAAGTGTAAGGGCTATCAGAAAAGATCAGATGAGCAGTTTGTGTTTGCAGATCTTAAAGCATTTACTCAAGGGAACAGCTGAAAATAAATAATGTAGTTGTAGTTTTCTACCCAGTTTCAGCATACAGAATTCTCTACCTCTTTCCTCAGCACAAAGTAAATCCAAACAAGTTAAAATAGAAAATAAGCTAGAGGGATGAGGAAGAAGTAGTGTTGAGAGAGGGGAACTCAATTTCCTTAACTTAAAAACCCTACAGTTTTAAAAATGGATAAAACTAGGATTGTTTTCTTTTGGCAACTGTTGGGAGAAGTTTGTAGTTATTGCTCAGCAAGGACTTAACTGCAGCAGCAACATATATTGACTTATAAATTCATTTACTATGCGATTTAACTTACATTACATCTCTTGGGACCTGAGAATTCAGCATTCTCATGCTTTTTTCATTTTTGCAAGCAGAGAAATGATGTGCTCAAAACTTGGACAAAGTTGTCATTAGACAATGTGAATTTAACTCTCTAGTGCTGCTTGACAGTACGTTTGGATATATGTCCTTACTTTATAGGATTTTTTGATAATTTTTTTTTAAAACTTGCAATAAAAGTAAAAATTTATCTGTTCACGTAGTTTTGAAAAGGTGAAAAAAATCACTGGCAGAACTCTTAGCAGCTACACACAATCTGAACAGCTGTCTAGACTATCCAGACAGTTGCTACTGTCAGCTGTGAACCTCCACATGCAAATAACTTTTTGGCTTACATGTGAACCCTTCCTCATTTAATAGTATGAACTTGTCAGAGTTAGGTATCCATTTCCTTGATTGGCTTACAGTTACTTATTTGTGATAAGAAAAAAAATTTTGAATAATATACAGATTTGTTTTAGTACATTTGCGTGTTACTTAATAGTAACCAAAGCTTGCCTGTGCTTCAGTGAACACTAGCCAGGGCAGTATGCTGTCTGTTTTGGTTTTAGATTCCTGATTTGCAGTGGTTGAGCCTTGCAGTAGTAGCTTGCTGTTTGAAGTAACATAAGTGACTGGTATTAATTTTTAATCACTTATCTGATCTGAGAAATTTTAATAACCTTGCAAAAATTGGCTGGGCTGCCGTGTTAAAGTGAGTGCCTCCAGTTCTAATCTCAGCCTCGTGTGGGTTGTATATTAGGAAGGGTATTTCTGTTGCAGGGTTTGTTTCTCCTGCTAGTTTGATCTTTCAGGGATTAACTTTGCAGCTAATCCAACTAGTTATGAGTTGGGTGAACTTGCAACTATAACACCACAGAGAAATGGTTAGTGTTTTAACTATACTTTTATATATAATATTGCTGAAATAATTTAACTAAATTTTGCTTCTGGCTGAAAAAACTACTGTATATTTATTTATCCAGTAAATCTTACGTGAAAAAATAGGAGGCATGAGCCTAAGAAAATTCTTTAAATCCATACTTGATGATTCAGATAAGTATGTGAGAATATGTTTGTTGAAATAGTAAGATTTTAATCTAGAAAGTCTCAACAACAGAAGTAATGACATAACAGTTTGCAGAAATACAGGAAGATTACTGTTGGTCTTGTATAACATGAGGGTGTTGCCAAGGAAGTGATGCATTCATTTTTGTATATGTCTTCAGTGTTTACCTCTGCTAAAGAAGCATCTATATAATCTTGATTGAACTCGTTGACTAACTTTAGCAAGACTCTATAGCCTAGGCATAGTTAGCATAATAGAGATGACTGTCATTATTGCTGTTTTTAGAAAGAGCAGCATGTCTGACTGGCTGGCATCTGTTTCCCTCTTTAAGACATAACATTCAGTAGACAGTTCAATTTTCAACATGTAGGTGAGCCTTAACTAAATGTTAGTTTCAGTGAGCTAACTCACAGCTTACGATTTTGTGAGCTGAGTCACTATCTTGACATTTGCCATGGTTTAGGGAGTTATAGAAACCCTTGCATTTCAGACTGAATGGAAGTTATAGTAAGCTTTTTTTGGTGTGTGCTCTTTTGGATTGAGAGCCATGTGACTGTTTTAAGAACACCCTGTTTTCATGTATTATTAACTACCTCACTTCCTGAAAGGTACATCGAAAAATCAGAGAAGATACAGATATGGCCCAAGATTCATTACAGTGCCTGGCACAGCTGGCGTCTTTGCACGGGCCAGTCTTTCCTGATGAAGGTTCACAAGTTGATTACCTGGCACACTTCATTGAGGGATTACTGAATACTATCAATGGGTATGTATGCCTGCTATCTAAATTTAGATGGCATCTTTTTATCTTCGGTTTGGGGTGTAGCATATCTGTGAGGAGAAGTGGTATGGCTTGCTTATTTCTGGGTATAATTTGTATGTACTGTTGAAAGAAAAGGCAATTTAAATTAGGTGGTCCTTACATAATATGAAGTAGATTTATTGATTGAAAGTCTATCAACAAAACCTATTCCCTTTTAACATTTTTTTTTTAATGGCAAAAACCTGCTGTTTCTATCTACAGAATTGAAATAGAAGACTCTGAAGCAGTGGGAATTTCCAGTATTATCAGCAACCTGATAACTGTATTTCCTCGCAATATTTTAACGGCCATTCCAAATGAACTTTTCTCTTCATTTGTAAACTGCCTCGCACACCTCACCTGTTCCTTTGGAAGAAGTGCTGCCTTGGAAGAAGTGGTAAGTAGCTGCAAATAGGAGGTAATCTTTTTTGTTTCTCTCTAATTGTGATAAGCACAAGCGACAGGAGAATTTGGCTGTTGTGTTAATAACTGTTGTGAATTCAGTGGTTTTGTCCTAGATTTCTGAAATCCTTTCTGAGAGAGTTTTCTTTTTATTTCACGCAATGTAATGAACAAAATTACACACTTTGTTCATCTTTCAGATTTTGTTTTGATTTAAAATACTTGTCTTAAATTTTTAATTTTAAAAAGAATGGATTAATTTAAAAATATCGAAGTCTTAGCTATTGCTGACTTGCTGTTGTAGGACTTCTCTGAAAACTGTTGTAGGTAGTAAACAAGCTACAGTCCCAAAAGCTTAAAATGACTATGTGAACATATGGGCAGACTGCAAATTAACTGCTGTCAAGAGTTCTGTTTCAGAGTTTCTGTTTTAAGTGAATGTAGCCATTAAGATCTGTTGTTAACTCCAGATTTCTAAGCTGTTCAGATCATACCTTCATCACTGACACAGTTCAAATGGTAATTGTGTGTACAAATCTAGCACAGGAACTAAGAGGATTTTCTTCTCTTCTTTCAAATTTTGGTTGTAACGCTAAAGACCAATGGGGAAGTCCAAGTTTTCTGCTTCTAAAAATTGCATTAAAAATAAAAACCCCTAAGGAGACCTAGTTCAAGGGGAAAAAAAACCATAAAAATTAAGGTGAATAATCTTGCTCTTCAGCTATTTATATGCAGTAGATGTAGATATGAGATTATCAAGATACTAACCAGTATTTCCCTATTAACATGAGAAAGTATGATATTTTTTTTCTCGTTTCGTATAATGACTAAGGTTAATTACCTGAGTTTGAAAATAGTTATAGAAGTATTTAGTTACAAAGTTGATGGACATGTTTTGTTACTAGAGAACACAGGTGTGTTAATTAGCATTCATTGCAGGGCATTAAATCATCTCTTCAGTGCAAGGTTAAAATGTATTACATTTGGCCCGGTGCTCACTTAAACTTTAAAGTTTTTTCATATCTTAATCAAAAAATTGGTGATTAAATTCAGAGTCTGAAATACAGCTACTTTCCAGACTTTATTGGTCAAATTTTGCTCTGTTTTTGGAATTTTCTAGTAGAACATTGAACATGTGTTCTAGTGCTCACCGATACATTTAGGAATGCTCCTGAAGCCCTTATAGAAAAGATTTAGTAAAAACCACAGGCAGCTGTCATTTAAATTCAAGGGACTAAAGGGATGTTGTTTCCTCAGTTAGCCTCTTGTTACTTGAGGACTAGAATAAGCAATCATATTTAATGAAAACAGTGCTCAACATAATCCCATTCAAAACACTTAATTTCTCAGCAAAATCTTACAATAGCATGTACGCTATCTGATAAAAAGTTTATTTTGGAAATGACTAGCTAGTTATGCCTAGTAAACTGTGGCTGCTACACATACTTAATCCCATACGTTTTGCTGAAGAAACTTCTGTAAGTAATAAATGTTCTCAGATTAAGCAGCATCAAACCAAGAGAATGCAAGAGGGTTTTTTTTGTTATTGTTGTTTGGGGGAATTTTCTCACTGTCCTTCAATCTTTAAATCATCCTGTGAAAAGAGGAACATTACACTTTCACCCCTCCTGTTCTGTTACTGCTCTTATAGGTGTCTCAACTTCATGTTGTTTCTCTGATTTTCAGAATGATACAGAATTCTGTAGTGATGTGCCTTCCAAAAAACAATGCTTATATCTTAACAGTGCATGAGCAATAAGGCGTGCTACCAAGACTTTCAAGTTACTGCTAACTTAGTCCTGATGGTGTAATGTGTGCTGTGCCTATAGAAGTACTATTTTGCATCCCTGGAAATGATCTTTTGGCTTAGGAATGTCCCAGCCATGATTAATGTGTTCCCCAAGCTTCTTGCTTAGAATGTGTGTAGTGATACCTTCTGTGAGCTCATGTGCTGTCTGCAATTAAGAGCTTTTTGATATATAAAATACCATGTGTGTTGGGCTCAGTAGAGTTCTCAGAGCTTTTCAGAAATACGAAGTGCAGCAGAAGGCAGGCAGGCAGGCATACTCCTTAAGCTTTGCTGCTTAAAAAAGCTGTGTTCCTCATATTTCTGCCACTTTGTGTGCCAGCAGAATGTATCATGTGAACACAGCAGAAAGCCCATGAGGGACAAGGAATCTATTTTGCTCAAGATCTGCTATGAAAACTGTCAAAACGTGGAGGCACTGGATCAAAATATGCAAACCACTTCAAAGCAGCTAATAGTGATTTTCAACCAAGGGGGGAAACCCACAATCAAAATATCATGTTCAAACTGTTTCACATTAACCTGCCGCTTAGGGTTGGAGAGATTGACTGAAGGAAGTTTGAACATTTGCCTGAACAGCTATGCTAATGGAGGGAGAGCAGTAAGCTTCAGCAATGCTGGTTTATGGTGCAAGTTGGACCAGTAATCTCTTCCTTTAATGTCACTAGGTCTGAGAGAAAATACTTGTCCACAGCTATGCTCCACCTTGCTTAACACCTAATGCTTTTGCAAAAGTAGAAATCAAATAGTCCATCCGAAATAGTGAAGAGTTTAAACAGGATGTTGGATGAAAAGTCAAATTATATTTGACTTTAAGAAACTATATCAAAGGCTTCTTTTTCTCAAACTGAATCTCAGTGCATTGTTCTGTTTCATGATATTTTTTAAGTATCATGTGATGGCAGAGATCATTCCGAATTTGGTCTTCTCTGCTGTGCTTCCAATGCTTTCTAGCTTATTGCTGCTTGACAATTTTTTGTAGTGTTTGTTCTTCAAAGGGTCAGCAAACTGTGAAGGAAGAAGGACCAAATTTCTTCTTGTTTCCTGTAGTAGAGGAATTAAGCATTTTTGCTTTAACTTTGTTGGTTTTATCTTGCCTTTCTTGAAGATCTGAGTTCTGATCCATCAGAATGATTAAGCTCTCCAGTCTACAGCACAACACTTTATCTGTAGGACATCTTCCGTAGCTCAGCTGTAGGTAATCTGAAATAAGGATTGGGATTTTTAATAAGGTTTCTTTGGGACCGAATTGGTTCAATATGGATAAAATCTTTCTACTATTGGGCATGTACTTTATAGAGGCATATTAGTCCTAGATTGCTTATGAGAATATCTTAGAGTTAAAATAATTTTTCTTCATGACATTATCTTCTTTATTACCTTTTCAAATAAATGAATTGGATGTATTTTGAGGGTATTTTGTTGTTCATAAAGACGTGTGTTTATTTGCTTATGCTCTTGATTCTTACAAATTATGAAAAGTTGTATGTAGGTTAATAGATGTATGTATATTACATACATATAAAAATATTTTAGGATTAAATGACTGTCTGTAAATTCATGTGACCTTTAGCCAAGTTTTAAAAAAGTTATGTTGTCCTTCCCAAATTTGTGACTTATGTCAGTGTTGAATGCAATTTTGCCTCTCTCCTTGTCATCTTCAGCTTTTGGTTTTGCAATTGCATCAGTGTGTCCCATATTTTAACTTATGCAAATATGACCACTTTGCAGTTACAAAATGATGCGGTGAAGCTATCTTGAAACACTTCCAGTGTGATATCTGTTCTTCCTCTTAATCAGCCAATGTTTTCTTTTCCTTGCCTGTTCATTCAACCATGTTTGTAACTTCACTGAAAGTCAGGAATTCTTGTGTCTGGAGTATGATTAAGGCCTTAATGTCTCTTCATTTCATCAATGAACCATTTTACTAAGCTCTGCTATCTGAAAGTAACTTCTGTGAGCCATCCTGTTGGTTCAAAATTGAGAAGACTTCTTAGAGGGAGTTTAGCGTCTTAGCAGCATGTTTATCTGTACAACCACACTGGAGTTATTGGAGGTTGGATATATTTACAAAAGTTCAATTTTTACATCAAGACAAAAAGTTGATAGTTATATTAAAAATATTTTTAAAATAAATGACCTCTTTGCTGTTTGGGTTTTTTAGTCTGCCTGTAACCCAGGACTTTGTATTTCAGATAAGTTGTTTCCTTCTGCAGCTTAAGTACTACGTAGAAGCACATATGAATAATTAGAAACATGAAGCATCAGTTGAAATACACCAAGTAATTGGAGGTGCAGGCATTTCCACTGTTTTTTGGTTTGCTTATAGAATGAGAAGTTGTGATTATTCATCAAAACTGGCTACCTGTAGTAAGGTTTCTTGAACACATGGCAATCTTGCAGTAATTTCCTGTGGAACAGAGAATCATTGTCTTTTCTGTCTCTTTCTTTCAGTAGTAGTGGAATACATATAAATCTATATGCAACATCAGATGAAGAGAAACAGCTAAACACACTGATAGTTTTTTAAAAGCCTAGCAAGCACGAAAGCTGCACTGACCTTTTTGATGCATTGCTTCAATCTTGGCTATCCTTAGATGGGTTTTGTGACTTATTTCTTTTTGTTTCAACAGGAGAAGAACATCTGTTTAATAATGAATATAAGCACGTTCCTGTGGTTTAGTTTAGGAATAAGATTTTTCATTTGTTTCTTTCATCTCTTACAGCTTGACAAAGATGACATGGTGTATATGGAGGCATATGATAAGTTGCTGGAATCTTGGCTTACTTTAGTACAAGATGACAAACATTTCCATAAAGGTTTCTTTACCCAACATGCTGTTCAAGTCTTTAATTCCTACATTCAGTGCCATCTAGCTGCTCCTGATGGCACAAGGAATTTGGTAAGCCCTCATTTTAGTAGATTTTGATGATGACATATAGTAGCTAGCCCATGTCTTTTGGTGTGTATATATTATGTAACTCAAGGCAGCGAGTGTAGAATTGCTATTTGTGGCTTTGGAAATGAAAAAATTGACGAATTTGTTACTCAGTTGTCATTTCCCAGTCTGTTTCTAACATTCTGAAGAGGAAATAAAGAAATGCAAAGTTGGAAATCACTTAAAAAAATTAGAAAAAAGTAAACCTGTAACTCGGATCAATGTGTGTCTTGCTTTCTTCCCACAGATACAGTGACTAAACTTTTGACCATCCTTCTCTGGATGGCCTTAGAGACCTGATCAAAATTCTCAGTGAAGAAATTGAAAGCCTATTTTATGAATGTTAGCTCCCATACATTACCTTCAAAGTATAATGCATAAATATCTGAAAAAAATGTGGGCTGACTATGCTCAGGATAGAAGAAACTTGGAATATCATGTGGTCCTTTAGGATAACTTGAATTCCCGGTTGAATTTTTGAACAGGTGACTGTTCTAAAGAAAGCCTAAAAGTACATCAAGTATCTCTGTAGCCATGGAGAAAGAAAGCAGATTAGTATATTTGCAAGTAGTCTGGATCTTTCTAGAATAGATTCTTATGCCGAAAGTTGGGTGTAGATGTTAGATGAATTAATTATTGCATAGATTCAATTCAGTAACTGTATAAAATCTCTCTTTAGTTTGATGCTGTGCAAAGATCTCCGAGATACCTCATTCTGAAAAGCACTGTATAAAACTTAATTCTGCTATCTCAATATGTAACAGATGGTAATAACAGTGCCAAAACCAAGAGAAATATTTCGCAAGAGAACTTTGAATTCATATCAGGCGGTCTTGACATAACTTGTATACACAGGTTAATTCATGTCATTCTGTGAGATAAGTCATTTATCCCATGGGTAACCTTTTAAAAGCCACAGCTGGCATTTTAGAATGCTTCTTGTTCGATATCAAAGCAGTAACAGGAACTTTCAATCCCTACTTTGAGAGCAGAGGCTCACCCTTCAGTAAACAGCTGCAACTTTGAAGTTGCCAAAAGAGAATGATTTGCTGGGTTACATAAAGAAAAGATGGGTTATAAGCACTTGGTATAAGAAGTTGTGTGTGGATTCAGTTTTCCAGGACCTGTAGAAATAAAGCAAACTGATAGCTTTCTCTCTTATATTTTACTGTGTTACTTGCATAAATTTTATGAGTATTCAAGAGATTTTGAAAACTTTTAATACTGATACTTAGTTTCTACATATCATGGTTCATCTCTTCAAGGAGTAAGATCTGATTATTATTTAAATAGTATTATTTAATAATGCAACCAAGATAAACTGTGAGAAATTGAACAGTGCAACTTTGCATCAGCAAAAAATAAAACTGAGGTGATGATGATTATTAGTCTTCTGTTTTCCTGAGGTTATAGCATTTACTTTTTAAAGTACTTTTTTATTTTTAAATAGTACTTTTTAAACTACTATTTCCTTTCAAACAGTAGGTTATGGAAAATCTTTAATAAAAGAGATGATTTTCATTTCATCTTGAAAAATAGTACCTATTACATGATTTAAGTAAGATCTCAGACAACTGACAACAGTATCTTCGACTAATGAATAGGAAAAAGCATGGAAGTTCCAGTATTTAAAATGGTTCTTGGTTTGCTATATACGTGATTTGAAATACAAATGTACTTCAACAATCTTTTGATCATTGGTTTTGGAGACCATCTCTGTGAGCCAGACTAATTCAGTACCTTATATCACACTTCTAGCAGTGGATGCACAACAGAGCTGATTTATAAAATGTAAAGAAGCTGCTTTGCTATTGACCAACTTGTGTTTATACTATTAATAACAAGCATCAATTTTCATAAGTCCTATTCTTGAGTCTTTTCACAGTGAATCTTTTTACTTGAGAGCACTATTGGAAACAGTAGCAAATAGACAAATTAACTGTGTGACATTTTGCTAATGAGTTTGTGAAATGCTGATTTTAAAATAATACGAACCCATATTGACTCTGTTTAACTCTTCAGTGTTTAGTACAAATTTGTTGTTCATCCATGCAAAACACCTTGAAAGAAAGAGCCAAAATAATGCAGAAAACTGATGATGGTAAATTTAACAAGTATGACTCTTAACTGGTTGCTTCTAATTTTGTTGAAATAACCAAAGACTGCCAATGGTGTGGCCTCTCGGGAAGAAGAAGAAATAAGTGAGCTGCAGGAAGATGACAGAGACCAGTTCTGTGACCAGTTGGCCAGTGTAGGCATGCTGGGGAGAATTGCTGCAGAACACTGTATACCTCTTCTTACAAGGTAAGTACAAAAAAATTAGTCATGAATGCAAATCAGTAAAGCCATCACATATGAAAAGCCTGACTTGGCCGAAACAATTTAAAAGCAATGAAGTTATTTTATTGTTATTTGTCCACAGTTTGTTAGAAGACCGAGTGACAAGGCTCCATGGTCAGTTGCAAAGACATCAGCAGCAGTTACTTGCCTCACCAGCATCAGGTTCAATTGACAATAAAGTGCTTGATGATCTGTATGAGGATATTCATTGGCTTATTTTAGTCACAGGTTAGTGAACAGCTTTAAATAGTACTAATTCTGGTAGTCTTGTTGCAGCTGGGACATCTTAAAAAAAAAAAAAAGAAACCCTGTATATCAACTACTCTTAAGTGACTATACCTTTTATCCTTTATGATAATTTCATCTTACATGCATCTTACTTGCAAAGTCTTTGCTTTACTTTCATCTGCCTGAATAACATGAATGTTTATCTTTAAAAGATTGATGAAATCTTTACATGAGGTAGTGTCCTTTGGAAATGCCCACAACTAATTTTGTTATAGATTTCAGCTGTGTTATCAGTCAACCTATTCAAGAAATTAGTCTGTTCATGGTACCAGTGGTATTGTCTGGAGGCACATGACTTTATAAGGGAACCAGTGTGAGATCAGGATAATGGTAGTACTCAGTGGTGGCCAAGAATCAAGTAAGTTCTAGAATTTCTCAGTGCTGATGATCCATGTCCTGCCATTTTGTTATATTTCAGGGAAGTTGAATTTCAGTTTTAATTTTTAGATGAAAATATTTTACTTATGTTTGCAAAACGTAATAACTATGTCTTTGTTAGGAGAAATATATCATATACTATACATTTTGTAGGATTATATTATAATATGTATTTTGTGGGATTTTTTTTTATATCTGATGTTTTAATCACTCTCAGATGTTGACATGAATGTATTTATAATTTTGTAATACTGTGGAATGGAGTTTATATTGGTAGCTCACAGATAGCTATGGGATCAGACATTGAAAACTCAACTAAAGCTGGAATTAATACTATCTGGATACCAGAGTATTGTATAGAATCCCATGCTTCACCTGATCTGCAGTTGCTGTGCAAGAAAAACTGTATTATAGGATATATATTTGATGTCTTAAAACCTCTGACAGATTTGAAATGTTAGGAAAACAGAAGTCCCAAGTGAAATGGACTCAGTGGGAAAGCTGTAAAATCAAGGCTTTTTTTATCACGTAACAAGAAAAAAATTACATCAAAATGTTGGTTTGGGGTGTCCCTTTCCCAGATAGTTGAATTGACTGTAGCACTTTTACATGAAGCAAAACTTACCTCTTTTTAAATTGTTTTTTAAATTGGTGGTTTCTTCTTGTCGCTTTAGGTTTTTGTCTGCTGAAATGCTTTAAGGATTCTAAAGTTAATGCCTTTGTATTTAAGCAATGTTAGTCAGGTTGTACAAACATTTGATTCTGGTATGATGTTTGCAGTTAAGGCAATGGATTCTCTAGTCAGAAAGCTGTAAGTTAACCTAGGGTAGAAGGTTGTGATCACTCTTTCTTTTTTAATGTAAGGCTACCTCTTGGCTAATGATACTCAGGGAGAGACTCCGCTAATACCTCCAGAAGTAATGGAATATTCCATTAAACATTCAGCTGAGGTTGACATCAATACAACACTTCAGATTCTGGGATCTCCAGGAGAAAAGGCCTCTTCCATCCCAGGGTACAACAGAACTGATTCTGTAATTAGGTAAGGATGCATCTTGTGCTGTTAAGTTTGTTAAATGCTTTTTAAGAGAAGAAATGAGAATGTGAGTGGACTTCTGTGAATGCGAAAAGTAAAGAAGCAATACTGAAAAACTGAGCATTGAAAAAGAAATGTCGTTTTTAACTACTATTAAAGTAAGGGCAAATAATTTAGAGGAATGGTTTTATAACAGTCATATTAAGGTAATGCTGTAAAAGAGCATTAAGAAAAGATGGAAAGGATGAAGTGGTTTTTTTGTTTGGTTGATTGGGGTTTTTTCTAGGATAAGGAAAGGTAGGGTAAATATAGATGATATTTCAAGTCAAGGTGATCCAGGGAAGGACTGAAAAGAAAAATGAGAGTAAGGCATCAAAACAGATAACACTGAGTCAAGATGAGAACGCTGAAGTGACTAGATGGACCTAATACCTAATAGTCTTAACAGAGGACATGAGCCAAAATCTTGGAAATAAATAGAGATTTTTTTTTTTTATATCTCTACTGAAAATTCCTCTTTGATCTATCTATTACAGAAACTCCCTAAAATTATTTAAGTAAAAAAAGTTGATAATATATACTCTAAAATTCATGCAGCACATGTGCATCTTAAGCTAATGCTTTCCAGAGCATCAGTGAGCTTGTCTGCTGTGAATATGAGTTACTGCCCAAGCTTGGCAGTAGCAGAAGAATTGATCCTTGGAGCAGGAGGAATTTTTGTCAGTTATGTACACATATCACTGTTAGCCTATGAAAGAAGCAGGAGAGATTTCCCTTCCATTTTACAAGAAGGCTGATGCCCACAAAGAACTCCTTAATTTGAATCCGCACACTTCAGAAGATTTCGTTCAACTCTTAATTGACATAGAATATTCTTCACCCAAGATTAGTTGTTGTCTATTTAAAAGTCTTCTTCTGGGAAGAAGCTAGAAAAAATGAATCTTCATTAGCAATGATGTATGTGCCTAATGTTTAGAACCTTGAATACTGCTCACTGATACTGTTGGCTGCTTCAAAAAGTGGTCACTGAACAGGATTTCTTGATGCAGTGTTTCAGTGGTGATGGAAATAAAGTTAGGTATAAATAAGGAGAGATTTGAGGATCTCTGTCAACAGGTCTGAAATATCTTCAAGATACAGGCCACTCTCAACTCCTAAATTTCTTGTGCACTATCACATTCTTATACAACTTAATTGACATACTAAAAAAACTAATATTTAATGTCATTTTATAGGCTGAATTTATTAACGTGATCACCTGATGTTCTGCTATTTCAGACTGTTTTTCTGCAGCAATAAACGAGAGACAAATAAGTAGTCACTTTTGTATTTGTTTTTTAGTATGCGTCACACTGTGAAAGCTACATAATTAGAACTGATTTGGTCAGTAAACTTTCTTGTGCAAGGATGGGAGAAGCAGCTTTTCAAAAAAGCTTTTCAAGCGCTCCAAGTAGTAGTCCATTTGTCACAATGCTTGTGAGGATTCTTTGTTGGAGTAATTTTGATGTCAAAGTTCACCTTTTAAAGCACAATTATGATTTTTTGGAGGATATTTGCCAGTCTATCCTGTCTCTCTCCCTCCCTCTCTCCTTGCATTCAACAAACAATAAATTCAGGTGCTTTTTACCTGATTAGAGTTGAACTACTTTGTGTTATCCTGATCTCCTGTTGTATTTGGTGAAAAATGGAAGAGTTTGTTAGTTGCTTTCCTTCTCCAAAAACCAGTCTCAGCATCCTCATTGTATTTTAAATCCGCAGGTTGTTATCTGCTATTTTAAGAGTGTCAGAAGTAGAATCTAGAGCAATAAGGGCAAATCTCACACACCTCCTGAGCCCCCAGATGGGCAAAGATATTGTGTGGTTCCTCAAGCGCTGGGCAAAGACTTACCTCCTAGTAGATGAAAAGTTGTATGATCAGGTAAGGATGTAACTTTTATGAATTAATTGGTGAGTATTAGCAATAATATTATCCTGTGAATGCAGATGTCAGTGTAACTATTTAACAGTGCAATGCTAAAGCATTTTTAGTGTTAAATATGTTGTGGTTTATTTTGGAATTCGAAATTTGATGGTTTCTTCCATTTGTTAATTAGAAATATATAAGTTGTGAGGGGACTCTTCTTGCGCATTTTGCTGCAAATTTGAGAATTTATTTTTTTTTGGTAGCCATCACCATAGCAGAATAACAATGCTCTCAGGCCACACAGTGGGTGAAACTCACTGACTGCAGTAATTTTATAGGCTACTTCTGACTGTCCATCTTACATTTCATCTCTAATACAGGGGTTGCCCTTGATGGATGATTTAATGAGTAACCTGATGATGATTGAGATATTTAACACCATCACAAAGTAGTATACATTAGCTAATGTCATGCTACTTTCTCTCCTGTCCTCGTTCTCATTGAATATACCATGATTTCAAGGGTACATTCTTTGTAAAGGGCAACCTCTTATCATGTTTGGACAGCACTAATCATGATTAGAATTTGATCCTGATTTTGCTTATCGAACTAACTGTAATCCAGCTGGCTCACAGAGGCCACTTGTCTTGAGGAGGTCCTATTGGCTCTAACTTTTCAAGAAGGAAGCCGCCTCCTCCTCCTCCCCTTTATTTCCACTGTTCAAGCAACTAAGAATACTAATGCTTCAGGAGGCCCCTCCTTAACAAAAATAGGTATACCATAGACTTGAAGATATTTGGATTAGTACTGTTTAGCTTTTACATAGAGCACAGCTAAGAATTTGTAAAGGTGCCAGCTGGGGAAGAATTGGAGAGCATGTTAGGATACATGTGAAAAATGATGTGAAGAAACAAAACAAAGTATCTAGGAAATGCACACGTTTAGTTTGTGTTGACATATGGAAGTGATTGAAACCTCTATTTAAACCTTATGCTCAGTCATGTATATATCATGAGTTTTAAAGTTAGAAGTGCTAGTGGTTGTGCTGACAGAAAGCCCCTGCACAATTATTAAAGAAGTCTTTGGATTTCACTCTTGAGAAACTTTTTTTTAAAGACAGGAGAACAGGCAATTTCAAGGAACCATATTTTAATGTGCCAGGACCATAGTGTGACATCTTTCCTAAAAGATGTGTAGATTAAAGGAACGATCTGCAGAAAGCAGATGCAGAAAAATTCAGTTGAAAATAGATTTTTAAAAGATTTGATCTAGATCAAGAGCTAGATTTATTTCTAATAATTTTAACTGCTGAATTTTGAGGAATTTTGTCTTAAATTCATGAAAACTCTTCCAGGAGGTGATTTTGGGATCTTTCTTTTGATTATTAAAGCTTTTGAACTTTCTTTGGCCTTAAAAGCTAGAGATACTCAAACCGGGTTTTGTAATGAGGTAGAAACTTTTTTTTTGTTTTAAGTGTTGTGCTTAAAATTGCAAAATAAATTTGGCAAAGACTTTTCTATTACAGGTATTCTTTGCCTTTGTCTATGTAACATTTGTGTAATTTAAGTAGGAAGGAAGTGACAGCCTGAAAAGAATTTGCTGACAATGATTACCATACACTTTGGGCTTCTGGCTTCTGTAAAACTCACTCATTTTAATGCTTTTCTTATAGATAAGTCTGCCATTTAGTACAGCATTTGGTGCTGATACAGAGGGTTCCCAGTGGATTGTGGGTTACCTTTTAGAAAAAGTGATCAGTAACCTGGCAGTGTGGAGTTCAGAGCAGGACCTTGCAAATGATACTGTACAACTGCTAGTAACATTAGTGGAAAGGAGAGAGCGGTAAGTTGCTATACCTCTGGAAGTCAAAAAATTTCTTTTGCTTCCTTTAAAGTTTTTTGGCCAAAGTAATCCAGATACAGGGCACTTCATATTTATGTTTCTGTAAGTCAAATTACTTTAGTAACATACTATAACTGAGAAAAACCCCAACAAACTTGTCTAACAAAGTGAGGAGTGAGACCTGTATTTGACAAAACATCACCAAATTTTTATTATTGTTTAGACATGTACTTTACTTACCTTACCTTTGTGCCTCACTCTTAAAGTGAGAAAGGAAAATTCTCCTGGTCTCCCCTCCTATTGCAAGGATTTTTGTGTTGTTAATTTTTGTTGATTAAGAGTTCAGATATTGGCTAAGCCGGTATAAAATGTGTTTTTTAAACATATAAATTTTTTTTTTTAAATCCAGGATTTCATGGATTCAGACAAATTACAGAAAGTTTTTTTTGGTATTGCATACTGTGAAGCAGGAAATTCATGAATGTTTTAATTCTCTGAAATTACATGCAATCATACATTCACAGTCTGATGAAAGACTGTTCTGAAGCTTGAGGATTTTAAATGCTTGAGGAATTTTCTTTTAAAAAAAATTTAAAACCCACAGGAGCCAGTTTTGGAATAAACTGCTTATTTTATTATGACATAATGAGACTAAGCTTTTAATCCATGCAATATGTCCATTAACTCTGTGTGTGTATATGTGCATAAAACTAAAGCACTTCCCTGCTTTTCTCCCATATGAATTGATCTATTTTCAGAGTATATGCTTCAGAAATCTTAGAGCTGCGGCATTAGTAAGATGAAAATCAAAAGGCAATTTAGCCTTAGAATAAAGGAATTTTTTTCAAAAAACCTAACAAACTTCTGACAACTGCTAGCAACCCGATGTGCTCTATTCATATAATTTTGTGAAATCCTTATTTAAATTGTTTTTCCCTCTTTTAGGGCAAACTTAGTCATTCAGTGTGAAAACTGGTGGAATTTAGCTAAACAGTTTGCAAGGCGAAGCCCTCCTCTTCACTATTTGTCCAGTTCTGTGCAGAGAACACTAATGAAAGCTTTAGTTTTAGGAGGTTTTGCTCATATGGATACAGAAACAAAGCAACAATACTGGACAGAGGTAAGCTGTTTTGATGCTTTTATTACCTCCATCTTAGCAAGCAGTACAACAAGTTAGTTTAGGGAATTTTATGGTGGCACAAAGTCGACTGATACAGCATATTTTTATTTTTAATATCTCACTAATTTTAAAACTTATTTTCTTTTTGAAGGTCAGTAGTCATATGTCTTGTATCTAAATTGTATCTAAAACATCTCCACCTAAACAGAAACCTCTAATAATTAACTTGAAGCTTTGCAAAGCAAATGGGATAACAATATGCTTAAATGAGATTATTATAAAAGATACAATAATTTTCCTTGAACTGCACCATTTCTTCTTCTATTTTAATTTGTTGGTGTTATGAATCATTTAGTTATTCACTTAATGATAATGACAGTAAGTAAAAAGCTAACGTGGAACATAACGAAGAGCCGTGACCAGCTCTTTGTGCCCTGGCTCCATTGAAGCTCTGATATTTACTACCAGAAAGGTTGGTGCAAGAAAGTAGCTGAAATGTGATCAGGAAGCACCAGAGGAGTTTGTAAAGCATTGACCTTCTGAGAAAACCAGGCCTTTATTAGCAGAGATATGAAATTAGTGATTTAAGGTACGACTATAATGCACTGGAAGTAATTAGAAAAAAACAATTATTTTTATGGAAGTTTTTAAATTGTTTCTAAACACAGCTGATGACAAAAGTGATTGCGCTATTTAGAATCATAATATGGCAACAATAACTGTGAACGTTAATCCTAATGCTTTCATTGTTAGCAATTTTTCCCCCTAATACTGCATTTGGAAGAGAACCAAGTAGTGTGAACCAGAGAAGGTCACTGTCATTGGTTTAAACACTACAAAATAACCTAAAATACTTATGGAGGTGCCATTTTGGAACCTGTGGGCAAGTAATGATGGATAATGAGAAGCACTAATCAGTACCACTTCAGCTTATGTTAATGTGGCAGACAATAGCATAACTGAGCCATTGGAAACTGGAAGTGATTGATTCTTGTACTGCCATGCCAAAAGCAACTCATGAGCTTGCCAAATTACTTGAACCTTACATCTCATATGGTAGTATGCATATCTTAATGCTTCTTTTCTAAAAAATTTCAAGGTTCTTCAGCCACTTCAGCAGCGATTCTTGAATGTGATAAACCAAGAAAACTTTCAGCAGATCTGTCAGGAGGAAGAAGTGAAACAGGAAATCACTGCTACATTAGAAGCACTCTGTGGCATTGCTGAGGCTACCCAGATTGATAACGTAGCAATTCTCTTCAATTTCCTAATGGACTTCCTTAATAATTGCATTGGATTAATGGAAGTATACAAAAACACACCAGAGACTGTTAATCTCATAATAGAAGTCTTTGTTGAAGTTGCACATAAACAAATTTGCTATCTTGGAGAGGTAAATACAGCCAGAAGGGGAAGAAGGAGGGAGAAGAGTGTTTGTGTGTGTGTGTGTTGTTTGTGTGTGTGTGTGTGTGTGTGTGCATACAGTGCTATTCCTTAAACAAAATAAGGTGTGGTGATTTTTGTATAGAGAAAGAAAGAATATGTGTTCACATCTGTTAAGGAATTCCTTTGTTTTAAAACATACGCTTGCAAAGATTAAAAGCAGGATATTTAGACTGTTCGTATACCAATAAATTTAAGCACAATTTATCACTAGTGTAACTCTATGCATAGGTGGCAGAAGAGGACAATGCTGAGTACTTTTTTCTAACTGCATCAAACTTTTCGAAAGTCTGGTCTAGGAGAATTGCAGCACTGTGACAAATGTATATCAAAGAGACAGTGCTTTGGTCCTAGACAAGGCATTAATAGTAATACCAAGAAGTTAACAGTTAAAATAAATTTTGAGTCAGTGCAGTACGCTTACATCTTTGCACCATTGGCTAATTTTGCTATTGCATCTAGAAGAGTTCCAACCTATTCCAAACTGGATATGCACAGTGTAGTGTGGCTTGAAACTTCTGTAGCTGAAGTGTGTCCCCAAGGGATTTTGTTGGTAATCTAGTTTGTGAGAGTGGTGAGATGTGTCATCCTGTCCTAAGCCACTCATCTGGTTTTTTTGTTAAGATTGAGAAATCGATGAAAGTAATGTTCTGCTGTTTCAATCAATAGTGTTCTGACTGTTTAAGGTGGCTGCTTCCTTGATGATTTTGTGTGCAATTGTTACAAAAAGTGGTCATATATTGAAATTAAAATCTTGAAGAATTGTCTACCAAGTAATGCCATCTTAAAACAAAGTGTGTCACTTTTAGCATATGGAAGTTTTCTTACTATGTAACATTGTTTTATAGGCCAAAGCCATGAACTTGTATGAGGCCTGCCTAACTCTGCTCCAGGTGTATTCTAAGAATAATTTAGGTCGACAACGGATAGATGTTACAGCAGAAGAAGACCAGTACCAGGATCTCCTTCTTATTATGGAGCTTCTCACTAATCTTCTATCAAAAGAATTCATAGATTTCAGTGATACAGGTATTAAGGAACTGGTAATTGCTAAACCACAACTTGTGTTCTAAACTGAAAGAACCATTGTGGGAAATGTGTTCAATCCACGTAAAGTGAAAACTGAAGTTTAGGCTTGACTAGATCAGGATATGGAAATTACTATTTAATGTGCCAGTAGCAAAGGAAGGACTTTCCCTAGTATTCTGGCATCTGAAAATGTTATTGCTCTTATAAAATAAATAGGGCATATATGAAACAGCTTGAAATTTGAATGTTGCAAGTCTGAACATGTAGTAGCAGCAGTTTTATAACTAAAAGCCCATAGCGAAGTTGGAGTAGTAAATTAGTGCAAGAGGGCAGGTGGATTGTCTTCTTAGTATAGGATTCAACTTTTGTGAACTGTTGAGATCATTAAAATTCCATCATGTTTGAGGGTCTTCTGTTTCCTCTTTCACAGAAGGTGTTTTATGGTTTGTGGCTGTAATTAAGGGTGCCTTTTTGTATCACAACCTGTTACTTTTTTACGTGTATTTGCCACTTAAAATTGCAGTTCTCCTGAATATCATCTGCCAGTTCTAACTTAGCTGTTGTGCATCGCTTCTGAATAAGTGAAACCACATTTGCATAGTTCAGATCTCACTGTATCCTATACATCTTGTACAGAAAAGAACATAGGCAGATTCAGTTTGATACCAGGCATGTTTTGATGTTGTTCATTGCTTTTCTGAGGTACATCTTAAAAGAGAGAACCTTGTGCTCCAAAATTCAGTGCTATTTCGTTCTATTTTTTCACCCTGCATGCACAACACAAATACAGAACTAGATTTAGACTTTGTCCGTTGAATGGACAACCCAGCGCTATGTAACGTATTCTCTTTGAGATCTGGATGTTAATTGTGTGGAAAACACTGTAAAATACTTACCACAAAACTAAGTAATGTGAATAAAACCTAAATGTAATACCCAGAGATCAAATGTTTTGCAAGTTGTCTGCATACTGCTGCTGACTCAATGCAGGAAGGTCACTGCCAGCTGATGGGAAACGTAGGTCTTGCCTGTAACTGGAGAAAACTTGGCAACATCCAAACTACAGAATTTTCTGTATTAACTCTCCTATTCTTTTTCTCCTTCTGTTTATAAAAGATATTAAAACATATGTAAATATAATATATGTACACACATATATTGTATAAAAATGCAGTAATACAAATTAATAATTTGTATTAACTGTCTGTGTGAAGGCACGAAGCAGCTATCACTAGAAACAAATGCAATGTTCTGTAATGGGAGGGAGCCCTCAGAGTATCTGAAGCGTTCTAGTTTAGCATGCCATCTGGTACAAGTGATTATGAAATGCTTAGTCCTAGTGAATAAATATAGAGTGATGTGACAGCTTCCACTCACTAAGTTTCTATTTTAATACAGTGCCTCATGTTTTTGTTCAGAGAGAGGGGAATAGTCCTATTTTTAAAAATGTCTTTACTATAAAGAAATAGGACTCTTCCTTCAATATGTTTAATCCTCCTTTTACACAAAATAGTTTTTGTCTTTTCTGTAGACGAAGTATTTAGAGGACATGAGCCTGGGCAAGCTACAAATAGATCTGTATCAGCAGCAGATGTTGTCTTATATGGGGTTAATCTAGTTCTGCCTCTAATGTCCCAAGATCTGCTGAAGGTAAGTATGTTTTTACACAGAGCTGCTAGAATATGAAAGCTTTATAGTAATGAGTTCCCAGAATTCATTCCTATATGCATTCTACCTCCATAAGTTGAGGCTTTATAAATGTAAATAACTGTTACATAGTTCTAGATATTGTTTGAAAATATTATAAGCTGAGAAGATGTATATTTGAAGGTTCTAAACAAAACTTTTGTCTTCTAAAAGCGAGTGAGCAGATCCACAGCCAAACCTGAGATGTGGCTCACGGAATCCTTTTTGTGATAGTGTCAGAAATGTGATGGGAAGCATAAACAGTGATATTAATTAAAAGTAACTCTTTATTTTTACAATACAAATGGCTTTCATATTGTCAACATCAGCAGCTTGTTAGTAGAACAGTAAACAATGGGACGACAGCATTTTATGGGGTGCACTTTGTTAATATTTTACTTTGAATGAGGGGAAGACTTCTGTGCATCCCAGTTGTCCCCTCCTTACATGCCTTCTCATCCAGTACACTTGCTGAGCGAGAGGGCTGTGTCCATTTTAGATGAAACAAGTCAAAGGATGTACCCTGGAAGCCCCTCTATTGTGCTCCAAATGCTCACAAGGGTTTTACCCCACAGAACTACATTTGTTAATGTCTGAAGTAAAACTCTTAGAATTTGTGTAGAGCAGATACCAGACCCTCACCATCAACTGTTTAGCTTTAACAATCTTTTTTTATTGTACCGCAGTGTTTGCTAATAAAGTTGTAGCCATTCTAATGACTGAAGTTGCTTCCTAAAATTGTCTTTTCTTCTTCAGTGCAGAGCATCAGTCCTGTCTCTTTGTACAGTTGAACACTATGCCAGAATAATTATATGATTAAATCTAAAAATACCATGTTTTTCTTTTGACAGTTTCCATCCCTGTGTAATCAATATTACAAATTAATCACTTTCATCTGTGAAATATTCCCTGAGAAAATTCCACAACTTCCAGAAGACCTCTTTAAGAGCCTAATGTACTCGCTGGAGTTAGGGATGTCATCGTATCCTTTATAGAATTTGGGAGTGTTTTAAAAAATCTAAGTTGCTATAAGCAACTGTAAGAACGTGTTAAAAAATCTCATTTTTTAATTTTTTTTGTTTTTCCTTTTCTATCAGTATCTGTATCTATAATTGTATATTGATAACTGACTCTTACTCTGCTCTCTGGGGATTGACAGTTTCACTGTAGTGTCTATTAGAGATTCTCGTATTAGCTGAATTGCCTCTGACTTGTGCTTGGGGGCAGCCTTTAAGTAGTTTAGCATGTAAGTTTTTTCTGGCAGCCATTCCTGCCTGCTCCATTACTTCATTTCATAGTGTGTAACTTCATAAGCCTTCAGCTGGTATCCCAAAGCCATTCCTGAATTAGTTTCTCAGCTGGTAATGTAAAACATTGCTGCTGTTCTACTGGGCTGGCTCCAGAGCATTTCCTGTCAGGGTGCCAATGGGCTCTCCCTCTCATAATGAGAGTACCATTTTCTCTAATCTGTGGCACGTGTCAGAAACAGATGAGCTTGACCATAAGGGACTCTTTCTGAAAATGTTATGTCAGAGAGGGTTATGTTACCTTAGGGCCTGTAGCTAATAAAAGAAGGCAATGAAGTTGAATTCTTCTTCCTCCTCTTTTTCTAGTTGTTTGTTTGTTTGGGTTTCTTTTTATTTAATTTTTTTTTATCGACAGCTTTATAGTGAAAAGAAACCTTGGAACATACAAGCATTTAAAACATTTTCTATTTCTGTCACACCTGGGTAATTTTTTCACAATCTAATTGAAATCTGGCTTTGATTCTTTAATGCCCATTATCAGAATGAGCTCAGAGGTTTGCCAGCTCTGTCTGGAGGCTGTAACACCATTAGCAGAACAGTGTGCAAAAGCACAAGAAACAGATTCAACTCTTTTTCTAGCAACAAGGCACTTTCTTAAGGTAAGGCATCTGTGTTTCCTGTTACTTTGGTTTTTTGAATCCAGAGGCCAGACAGTGATGAAATCCAGATTAATCAGGATCACACATATAGTAAGAAACAGCCTATTACTTAAAAAAAAAAAAAAAAAGGCAGTTTAATAAGAAAGAGGGCATGAAGAACTGAAGATATTGGACTAGAGTACAAAGGAGGATGGAGGCGTAAAGGGAAGCAATCCCTTAATGCCAATAAACGAAAGACCTGAGCTTCTCAGAATGCAATTTATATTTACCAATGCTCCACATGTGAGCTCTAGAACTGATTAACAATTTTAGCAGTTATGTCTACTGTGAAAAGAAAGCTACCAGACTTGTGTGAACTGGAGACTGAGTAGAGCACTAAAACAAAAGACCAAAAAGTTCATAGTTGAGAACTAGAAAGAAAATGCTGATATTTATTCAGTGTATCTAATAAATTATGCATTTTCTTAATATCACATTTAGTACTTTCCTTTTAGGACCATCCAGTTGAACCGAATTTTGGAGTGACCTGGTAGCAGTCAGGTTCCTACTAATTAGCAACAAAGTAATTGTGGAATTTGTGTGCTTGTCGTCTGATTTTTGTATAGACTTCAGTTAAAACACATTGTTCTTCGCTTTAGAAGTCTTTTCTTATGAAACTGATATTGGAACTTCTGGGGATTGCTATTAAAAGGATGCATCAGCCAAGCTGAGAGAATGGGAAACTCTTGAATAATTTTGTCTTTATGTATCTTCTAAGTTAACATAGCTTCGTGCCTTATTTCTAAATTTCCACTTAAAATTATAATACTGCTTTTATTAATCTGTCCCCTATTTGACTTTCTGTGAGTCTCCAAAACTTGAGGAAAAAGTTCCATGTTTTATTCTGGAAGAGCAATGGCTTTTTTCATTATTTCTCTGGCATATCTGCAGCTTTTGGAGAAAAATACAAGAGGTGCCATTTCTTTCTGAAGAACAGTTGATATAAAACAACAAAAGGTTTCAGTGCTTTAAGATATGAATGTAAGGTGTTAAGCCAAGACTTAACTTCTAAAAGAACTTGGCTTCCAAATTACTGGTACCTCAATTTAAAAAAAAAAAAAGGGGGGAGGGGGCAACAAAGCAAACAGCAACCTTGGATGCTTGTAAGTACATGTTCATTATTATTACCAGAAGTGAAGATGACTTTCAGCAGCATATGTTGATAAAGTAGAAAGTTAAGTTTACACTTCTGTAACTACTTCTGTTTTGTGATTTCAGATGGTTTTTGATATGCTGGTACTTCAGAAGCACAATACAGAAATGACAACTGCAGCAGGTGAAGCATTCTACACATTAGTGTGTTTGCATCAGGTATGGCATTTAGACACACCCTGAAAAGAAGTAATTTGTTAAAGGAGAGTAGTTAATTACTGTGTGCCTGGTAAATCATAGAATCAGTTGGGTTGGAAGGGGGAACCCTCACGTCTGTAGTCCAACTTCTTGCTCAAAGTGGAGTCAACGTTTAATTCAGATCAAGTTGCTCAGGACTTTCTCCAGCTGTGTTTTGAAAACCTCCAAGATGGATATTTCAAAGCCTTTTTAAGTGGCCCATTAGTCAAGTGCTTGATTATCCATATAATATGCTTTTAGCACCTGCCAGACAGACTTGTTGACCCACCACTGGATTCATTCAAGTTCATCAATATCCTTAAGGAGCCCGAAACTAGACACAGTATTCCACATCTAATCTAACAAGTGCAGTTTAAAGACAAACAGTAAATACAGCCCAGTATGCAGTTAGTGTTCACTGCTGACAGGACACACAGCTGACTTGCTTAGCCTGCTGCCCCAGGGCCTTCAGGCCCTTCTTCCAGCAGAACTGCTCCCCAGCCTGTCAGTTCCCATCCCTATTGTTGCAGGCGGTTAGTCTGTTTCAGCTGCAGGACTTTGCATGTGTCCTTGTTGAGTTTTGTGAGTTTCCCCTCAGCTCATTCCTCCAGCCTGAGTAGGTGGCACTGAATGTCAGTCCTGCCCTTGAACGTACTGGCTGCATTCCTCAGTTGGATTTCATCTCAGACTTGAGGAGAGTGAATTTCCTCTCCTCATCCAGGTCACTGACTAAAACACTTAAAGGGACGAAGTCCAGATGAGAGCTCTGAATGCTACTTGTAACCATCTTTCAGGTGGAGTATGAGCCATTAATCGCAAGCCTTTATAGGCTGATGATAGAGGTGTGTTTTCACCCATGTAGTAGCCCACCCATTTAGACAAGAAAATCCCATCTTAGTTACAAGGATGTTGTGTGTGACTGCTAAAGACTTGCTAACATCAGGCATCCACTGCTCTGTGCTTATCCACAGATCTAGTCATTCTGTCACAGAAGACACTTTGGTAAAGCATGATTTATCACTGGTAAATCCACACTGGCTGTTCTCAATCCTTTTCTCTTTCACATGCCCAGAGATAGCTTCCAGGAGTACTTCATCATTTTCTCAGTCATTCTAAGATGATAGAGAGCAGCCTTGTAATGATGTGAGCAAGCTTTCTGAACCCTTGGATAGATTCTCTCAGGTCTCATGAGCTTGTATGCATCAAGATTCTCAAGAGATTACTGGGTTGATCCTCTTTACTATGGATAGTTCCTCTCCTCCTTGAACCCTGTCTCTAGTCACAAAGGTCTGGAAAAACCTGTCAGTGAAGACCAAGGCAAATAAAGCATTGATTCGTTCATCCCTACCTTTTGTCTACTATCATTAAACCAGCTGTTCCCATTCAGCAGCAGAACCCACATTTTCTGTATTCCTTCTTTTACTGTTAAAGTACTGGTAAAAGCTGCTTTTGTTGTCTTTGATGTCCCTTGCTAAATTGAGCTTTAGATGAACTTCATTTTTGTCATTGTTCCTATCCAGACAATGTTTCTACTTTCCTCCTTTGTAGCTGTCCCTGCATGTATTGTCCTTGCACTGCAGTTCAGTCATGAATTCCCTGCTTAGCTGAGTCGGTGTCCTTACATGTTTATATTGCTTTCTTCAGTATCTGGACAGGCCATTCTTGTGCTTGGAAGAGGTTGTCCTTAAAGACCTGTCAGCTCTCCTGAGATTTTTGTTTCCAGAGCTCACTCCCACAGGATACCACCCACCAGTCTCTTGAATAAGGTGAAATCTGCTCTCATGATGTCCAGGTTCTGTACTTGGCTGGTAGCCCATCTGCTTTTTGAGCAAATGTCAGAGAGATAATCTCTTCTAAGTCTGATCTGGAAACTTCCTCAAGTTGCTTGAAGATGACTCAGTCCACTAAAAGCCACTAGGGATTTGTAGCAAGATCCCACCATGATGTCATCTTTGTCACCTCTCCTCTGATCATCATTCATAAGCACTCAACTAGATTGTTGCCCTGTCTGTAGAAGAGCATCCTTAATTTGAGCTGTCCTTTCACAGAAGTGGCAAGCTTCTGTCGTCTTCTTCTGTAAAGAGTCTCCGTCTCTTCGAACACTTCAGTCATGCCACCTGTCCCACCACATCTCAGTGCCTGCAGTGATGTTGCAGCTCTGTACCTGCACTTGGAGCTCTAGCTCCCTCTTTCCAAAGCTGAATGTATTGCTACACAGACATTTGAGACTGGCCTCCTTTTATCATGTTTAATACTTCCCAATGAGCACCATTAAACCCATCACACTTCTTTGTGTTCTTAATACTCTTGGTCTCTGTCTTCTCACTTATCTGCAAGCTGTTACCACCATCCCCCAACATACTCTTTAAAGCCCTTCCTGCCAGGTTGGCAAGCCTTTGGCAAAGATGTTCCTAAGCCGCTTTGTCCTAGGGATCCTCTCTCTTGCTAGCAACCTTATCCCTCAAAGAGGGACTCGTGATCATGTAAGACAAAAAGATCCTATGATATCACCCACAGGTGGCAAATTCATGTTGTGTCTACCTCCACCCAACCCCTCACTGGCAGAATTGAAAGGAACGCCATTCTGGCTCCTGTGTCCTTCACCCATGCTCCCAGATCTCAGTCACTTTGGAATCGCTCCAGTTTTGTGTGCCCCTTGGCAGTGTCCTTCTAGTCATGTTTGACATGTTTCTTTGTCGTCTATTTCTGTCCAAGTAAGTATGACAGTAAGTAGGAAGCTCTTAGAAAGGATTCTAACCTCTCTATCCCAGAGAGGGGACCCTAGAAAATGGAGAACCTGTGGGAGGAGATGGTTGGTATGGCACACCAAACACAAGACAGGCATGAAAAAAGAACAGTCCAGTTTGCAGGAATAAACCTATGCTAAGAAAGAGCCAGAAGGCCCTTTGAGTGTGTGCCTGAAATTGTCATCTTACTCTGTGCTGCAAAGCACTGTACCTAGCTTTGAAGACTTCTTTAGCCTTACAAAAATACCCAGCCTGGATAAAGGACTTTATCTGGTTTGGAGGTAGGTGAAAGGCTGTGGGGTCCATAGTTGCTGCTGGTACAGTAGTCAGTGAAACTGGCTAACAGGTGGAGAAGTATTGATAGTTTTCTGTCACAACTTTTATTCTGGATCTTGTCTTGATGAGAGAAGTTGTATATACTATATCTTTTTTTTTTTTATGTTTATTTAACAGGCTGAATATTCAGAGCTAGTTGAAACATTGCTATCAACTCAGCAAGATCCAGTAATTTACCAGCGGTTAGCAGATGCCTTCAACAAACTTACTGCAAGCAGCACTCCTCCTACACTGGACCGTAAGCAGAAGATGGCCTTCTTAAAGAGTTTAGAAGAATTTATGGCAAATGTTGGTGGACTTCTCTGTGTAAAATAAACAACAAAACTCTATGCCTAATTTAGACCCTTTCTGCGAAATGCACTGAGAAATGCTGAATGCTGACTAAATCTTGTACCTGTCTCTGGGTTCTTTGCAGCCATCTCAGATTCTAGAGAGCCTGGAAGTTTGAACATAACACAGTGGAATAGGAGAGGTCAACTTTGAATCAGCTTCTGCTATTATGTGTTAGCTGCAATCTGTCATACTTATGTGTGGGAGAGAATGAACAGAAAATTTGAATTTAATTTTTTTCCATATATGTGCAAACAGATATGGGCACAAGGAAAAATAAATGCAGTGCCTTTCCCCCTGCACTGGTTTAAAATATGAGTGGTCATATAAACATACAGATTTCTTTTCTACCCAAAATCATGTTAGAGTGTGATGTAGATACATGTAAAGCTCTAAACAGTTTAGCTGATTTTAAGCTTTATTTTTCTTCTCTTTGAGTTTGTGTTCCAATGGGGAAGAAAAACCAAATGGCATTTTAACTTGTGTTCAGTTCTGTTTTTCTACATCAACCCAACATTGCATGTTTAATGCAATGCATGTTTTTACATTATGTTCTGCTGCCTAAAGTTCAAAGAAAAAAAGGTGTATATTTTTGTTCCCCTAAAATGAACTTTAGGAACTGTAGCCATTTCATTGCCTTAATTTAAAAGAAGAAAAAAGCTCATATACTTTAGGTAAGAAATATAAGGCAAGATTTAAGGCAAGATTTGACTCTTCAGAGTTGGTTTGGGACGTTGGCACTGAGCTGCTGTGTACATGTTGCAGCCTTTCATGATGATGTGTCATTTTGGAATGAGTGTCTAATGCAAGGTTCGTGTGTAATTTTACTTTCAGTATCTGTTTTGATTCTTAAGGGGTTGCACGACACTGCAATGTATTTCTACACTGAACTGTTTGCTTAAGCAATAACAACCCAAAAGGTGTGAATTACCGGCAAACTTTGTAAAGTTGGGGCATTAGCTAAAACAATTATGCTAGCACAGGGGCATCAGACCCTTTTACTCAAGGTTTGTGTTTGTTTGACTCCAGCAGGGAAAGGTAATTGGGGATGTATACTGGTGTGGGAGATTTTTAGTTTTGCTGAATCTAGCTCCACTTCTGCAGAGCCCTCCCAGCTGCTCTGCTCTTGCTTGGTTTTTTGTATCAGCACTTTAGCTATTAGAATAGCAGAATATAGTGCCCTGATTATAGGGAACCAACAAGGCAGAGCTGCACATGAGTATGAAAGCAAGGCCTGCTTTTCTCCTGTCATGAGCCAGAGAAAACTGAAGCAAACACAAATGCTGCATGTCTAGTAAAATTATTTTTGTGGAAATACATGGAGGAAGAAGTGGGCCCTTCTGTTTAAGATCTCTGCTAGATTATGCTGTTGAATATTTCCTATGTGTTTTTTAAATTTATATAAAATGTACGGTAATACATCTTTATATGGCAATGTGTAACGTTCATGTTTGCAATTCTGTGGCATTCTTCAGCTATTCATCTCAAAATTAGTCACAATAGCCAGAATTTTTAAAAGACACAAATCTCTAATACTGTGCTATAAGTGATCTAAGGCTCTAAGGCTTTTTTTTTTCCTTAAGTTAAATTCATATGTGTCTCAAGCATGGATCCACAAGGCCAAAAATGCCATCTTTTTATTATACTTTTCTCTTTTAATTGATGTGAAAACTAAGCAAGGGCAGATTTACACATTACAAAGTGACCATAAAACTTGTTAGATAATAATGTACCTTCGCAGCAAGTATTTTATTTCTAAGATATTTGCATAGCATTTTAGAACAGGAGTATTGCTCTCAATTTTTTCTTGAAACTCTAATGCATTTCTTTAAAGGATTTCTCGACTGTGCGCTTGCACAAAAGATAATGATCTTGGCAGATCCTTCTGTTTCAAACTGTTGTGCTGGCTGATTTTTTTTTTTTTAGTTGTCTGGGATTTGCTATGTTTTTGAAACTGCTTCTGGAGTTTTTCTGAGTTTGTACATTGGATGGGGCAGTGGTTCTGAAACCTCGTTTTTTCCAGATGAAGGGCACTGAAGCCTGGGAACATAAGCAGCAGTAGGAGCTGCTAGTTTGTTATGATGTGCTCAATGTCAAATACCTTGACCAAAGTCTTCAAAGACATCATAGCAAATACTTTCAATTTGTTTGGATCTGACTGAATAACTGATTTCACTAATTTCTTTCATACCTAGCTCTGTCACTATTGTTTCATAAATCTTAAAGCTGACTCGCTATTTAAAAATATTTATTAACTTAAAAATTTTGAAATCCTCTTGCATATTGTAATTGAAGAATTGGAGCACAAATTGAGTTCATATTCAGGACAAAGTAATGTGCATACCCATTATTGTTCTAATCAGGCCCATTGTGTTGTAACAATCAGAGACACATAGCATCTTCTGAGTATCAAGTCTTGCTTAAGTATGAATACCTACTTTTCAAAGACTAGTTTTGAAGGTTATTTAAGAATTTCCTTTTCCCTTCATTTAAGAATAATATTTTATGTTAAAGGGAAGCTGTCCTAGTAAGGGTTTGGGGTGTTTTTGTAATTTTCCTGCTTAAATGTTATACTTCCCTGTTTCTTAATTTTTCTTACATTCTCATATATTCAGCAGGGATCTTTCCATGCCATTTTGTGTTTCTTTTAGAGCACATTCTAAGATGTCTCTGCTCAGTGACATCAGTGAAATTGGGAATAGGTTTTATTCATTCATACTCCTGCTGGTTTGGTGGCTGCTTCTATCTGAACTATTTGGCTTCTATATCCCTAATAAAAGAAAAAGAAAAAAAAAAGAAGTCCTTCAGTGATCTTCTACACATCCAATTGCTATAAATCGGGATGTGGAAGTTCACTGAGGTCCACAGGAAAGAGTCATAGACCATTTTTAATGAACACTGAGAGCTGGCTCCATAAAGTGTTCTGAAAGTTTTACAGCATCACTGCATTGATTTTCCATTCACTGTGCAAAGTGAATAATGGTTCTAAAAATGCACCTGTTTCTTGAAGGAAAAAAGGCAACTCAAACCGAATTATAAATGCTGCATGATACAATTGTAACTAATATATTTGTCTGGACTTCTCTTGCTAAAACAGATTATTGATCCAGTGTTTTCATTCTGAGAGCTAAAAGTCAAGTAGCTTTCCCATTTTGCTATCTCCTTCCCATTGTAATAGTTCTAATGCTGGCTTAATAATTTTCTGTTGTTCAGCATAGCATTTTCGATGTTGACAAGCACGACCATAGAGTTCAATCATAAAATTCAAGACCTAGAAAGCACAGATGCATATGGACAGGCAGAAGTGGACTGCTACTTCCACATGAAAACTCCACTTTCACATGCATTTATGCCTTAATTACCTTCATTGAATCACTGCCAGAATCTGCTACTTTTTGCCCAGAGGTTTGTGTTTCACTGTTTAGTGGTAAAGAGCTCACCTTTTTTCTCAGGAAAAAGAAACTTGTTTTCTCAGCATGTCCAAATCCTACTGGTTGAAAGAGGGGGGTTTGAACTGGAGTCATCTCTTTCATAGTGCATAGTGCTCACTAAAGCCCCAGTGTTTATCTGGGCAAATCCCTTTATGTCTAGGCCATGTAGTTCAAGAAAATAAGCTTGCTCAGAGCAGTCAGTTGTCCATTTAAAATATAAAATTCTTTAAAAGGGAAAGCAAATTCTAATTTGTGGTCTGTAAAACTATTAAAAGTACGAATTGCAGCATTTCTCTTGTAAAACACTTCAAGTAACTTCAGTTTTGGTTAAGTAATTACATAAGAAGGAGTGTTTGTTGGTTTTTTTTAATGGAAGTAGCTTGATGAATATAAGCGCAGGAGTAGGAGCCAGGCTCCTCTAATTTTCTAATAAGTTTTTCCGCTGGATCCTCTGTGGCCATTGGCAAGTAGCTAGAACTGTGTTGTTGAAATAGCATTAACATCTGCCTACCTCACAGGGATGTTGTGAGGATTAGTTTATGCCTGTAAAATCCTTTGAGGATCTGAGATGCTATGTAAATATTATATACTTTAGTTTGTGAGGTGTAAGATTTACTGTAATGAGAACAGATTTTCATAATGATAAAGCCCAGGAGAGGCAGCAGTGGTGCAGTATTCCCCAGGACTGATCTACTGCAGTACAGGAATGCTTGTTGTAAATTGTCATTATTTCAATTACAGCTGATTGAAATAGTGGCTTCTTCTTCAATAAGGTGAGATTCCCCACCAGTGTGCCTCAGTTCTGGTCTACACAGGGAGAGGACAGTTGTTGATTTATTCAGGCTTTGGTGCCTCTACTTGTGACAAGTGCTGCTTGTGGTAGGGTTTTTTGTTTGGTTTGGTCTTGGTTTTTTTATACTTTTCTGCAAGGAACAAACACCATTCATTTCTACCATGTCTGTTCCAGTCTCTCAGTATAACCAAAGCCTAATGATAACAACTAAATTTAAGGAGCCATCTCTGCCCCCCCCTCCTCCCACCCCGTAAATTTGCATTTAATATGAGTAGATTGTGCCCTTTTTACAGCAAATTAGATTAATGCTTTCTGGCACTGATCATGAAGCAAATCATGAAGTGTGTTTTGCTCTAGGGCCTTAAGCTCTCAGCTCTCTTATAAAACACTTTTTTCAATATGAGATTTCTTGGGGCCCTAGCAACTGAGATATCCCTGGCTTTCCCTTTTCCTCAGTGGATTGAAATTGATTCTGTTTTTTCATTCCTTCCCTTTCCCTATCCTGCTTTTCCTGTCCTTTTGAGCCATTCTAAAGTGGATTTGGATGACCACTCCAACCTCAGTAGAAAGATACTACCCATATGATTTTCCAATCTGTTACAGCTTGATACTTGAAATTGATAAAAACCTTTCTAGTAGCATTCCCCAGCATGTTTCAATCTCCCACTGAACCATTCTAGAATTTATAATTATGAAAAAACATATTATCCTCTTTTATTTGTTCCATTTGTGCAAAATAAGGAACCTCCATGCAGTGAACATGCAGTTTTAAGGCAATAAATGCTAGTACTGCTGTTGGTCAAGTGTGTAAATATTTTGAATGTATCATTCAGTACTGTGTTGAGTTTATATATTAAAAACACAGGGATTGAAGTGCTAGTTGATTTCAAGTTTTGTTTTACCTGTACAGTTGAAGATATGAAGTTGCATAGAAGTATTTCACAATTTATTGCAATAAGACTTGGGAAATGGCTGTGTAATCAAGCCTTATCACAACTGATTTTTCAATTTTGAAATGATCACTTTGTGTATTTTTAAGATCCATAAGCAGGAGAAGGATCAAATTGTTTTCCACTAAAGACTTTTATTATTTTGTTTTGGCCATGTGTGATTTGTGTGTATTCTTGTTTAATATTTTTCTAAAATCTCATCTGTGTTGAATCCCTGAAATAGAAGTTGTTATAACTCCTTATGGTAGAAACAAAAATAGGAACATTATGAAACCTTGGGCTACACATTTTGCTCTATGACTACAGTGAATGCACAGTAATTAGGTTAAAAGTTGATGGGGTAACTTTAACCTGCATCGGCACTTAAGGCATGAGTTTGTCCATCAACAGAAAAAATATGTGATTAGGGGTACAACAGGAGTATCTCACACTGCACTGCAATTACCAGAAATGGCCATGAATAAATATATAATCAAATTAATCTTCCCCCATCTTCCAAAAAAAATTTTTAACAGTGACCTTTCAGGTCACTATATTGGTGGTATTTGTCTACCCAGAAGGAATGATTTCTGGGTCTTTAATTTTGTGTGTGTATTTCATCTAAACTGTTTCTGATGATATCTGGCACGGAAATGTTTTCCATGTAAGGGACATCAACAGTATGTTACTTCATGGATATCAGAAAAGTTCAGTTACAGGCAGCAGTTCCTAATGTGCTATAAACTACAGTTATTTTCTATTGCTCCCTTCTTACTTCCATGCACCCACATCTTTTAAAAAAAAAAAAAAAGCTTCACAAATCCTGAAAGTAAAACTATGCGACAGGTATGGTGGTGACAGCTTGCTATGTATCTTGGCTATATGTAGCACTAGAATTTTACTGGTTTCAGAAGTAAAATTACTGCAGTTATATATTTATATTGGCATGGTTTAGTTTAGTGAACATTTTGGTGAAGGATGGAAACATTTAAGGTAATTTTGAGGAAATTCCTTAAAGCAGCTGGTAAGACTAACAGCAGCATAACTAAGCAGCCTTTCATGTAGAAAATGGAACTATTCTGATTTACCTTAAATACAAGGTCTGGAATAAACTTGAATGATTTGGGTACAAAGCCTTCATTCAGACTTGTCTGTCTAAGTGTACAAAACTCCATCAGTTTTGCCTTTATGAAACTTTTTTGCTTCAGTTGTGAGTGGTGGAGTTGTGGTGGGTTTTTTCCTTCAGTGGTTTGCCATGTCTTACAAGCAGAAATGTAGGAAAGCTCAACCCTCCAAGTGGAATTTGTCTGGCCCGTCAGCTGAGGAGGAGGTCATACATGAACTGGAAGAGGGAAGGAGGAGGAGAAGAAATTAAAAACTTTGCAACGTTATCTGGAGAAAGAAAAACAAATCAAGCTACTCTACAAGAAGAAAAAGAAATTGATAATACAAGTGTTATCCCGTAACTTTGTAACCCATAACATCTTGATAGGATTAATAAAAGCCTGCCGTTCCATCAACACGGTTGGGGAAAAGAGAAAGTGCTATTTTGGAATTTTGTGAAATGAAATGCAATATTATCAGTGTAAGTTTTGTTAATTAAATAATACATGCCTCTTTATTTTGGAAGACGTTCCAGACAAATCTGCATCTCCAAAGAGAACGCTGAAGTTACCGACTGTGAACGTAATTCATTACTAGTTTTTCTCTTTTCTATATTTGAATCTTATGGAACAGCTGTTTTCACCTTAACATCTATTAGATGGTATCACATTTGATTTTTCTGACATGCTGGTGCCTTTGCAAGTGAGAGTAGAGCAAAGCTGTGAGTGTCATGTACTTCCTTTTTTCTTTCCTTCTGTGTCTGGCCTACTGTTCATGATTGTAAAGACATGTATGTTTGATTTGCTTTAACTTATTGTTTTGGATGCTGCAGTTTAGATTTGTGGCATATTCAAACTGCTTCCAGTTGCTGTGTTTGGTGTTTACTGAATGAAAGTCATCGCTAGACTCCAACACAAGTATTGATGTGAAAGCCTCACTCGTAACTCAATTTAACAAGTTGTCAGCACATTTGCTTTAATTTTGGAACTGCAGCGGTACTGGTAATGGTCTTTCGTTCATTCAAATGATTGTTGTAACTCGGAAAAAAAAAAAAAAATGAGGCCCAAACCCCACCACCACACTGTGGAGTCTTTAGGAAGATCACTGATGTCCTCACACAAGGTCAACACTACTTTGGGGAAGGCTTATATTCTTCTGCCACTTTTAGGAAAGACTGTTCTTCTGAAGTACTTTTTTGCCTGCTTTTAGGCTGTTATGCACTTTCACGATTTCTTAACAAACTACTGTTAAAATGTACTGTACCATGGATTTTGATAAGCGCACATGTATTTAAACAATTCGCTCAGCCTCAGGAAAGCTGGAAAAATCGGATACCTGTTTTGTATCTTGATTAAAATGTTTGCATTTGTAAATGCATCCCTTTAGATGGCCAGATAATATCTAGATCCTGTGAGTGTAACTATTTAAGATACCAGTATAGTCTGTAAAATGAGGACTGTAATTTTGCTTTAGGGACAGAGAAAAGGGTGTCCTCTTATTTTTCTTAGAGATATATATAGTCTGAATTGAAGTTTCAAAAGCAAAAAGCAGTAATAAACCCCACTTAGTGTTCAGGAAAAAAATGTTTTCTTTCTCAACACTATCTGATTTCTATTTTCTTTCTTCTCCTTAAAAAGTGTGTATGAAATAAGTGCAGAGGTATGTGCAGGAAAAACTGTAAAATCTGCTGCTGTACATGTTTGCTACTTGACTGCATTTTCTGTTCCACTTTAATTTTACTGGTTTTGCTAAATATATTTTATATATTTTCCTTCCTGCTTCTTGTGATGGCAGTGATTACATCTTTTGGGGGAAAAATCAAAAACAACCATAAGAAGGCTTTGGGGCCAGAAAATTCCATAAAGGTTGTATGTTACTGTATATCTCAGGACATTTTTTGAGACAATTCCAGAAAATTCCATAAAGGTTGTATGTTACTGTATATCTCAGGACATTTTTTGAGACAACTGCATAAATCAGGAGCAATGGTAAAATCGATGGGGATACGAAAATGTACAAAGGTATAGATGCTGGTAATTCTGTTTCAGGGTTGTTGGTTTGGGGGTTCTTTTAAACATTTCTAAAATCCATTTAAAATGTCAGTACTAGATGCGAAAGAGTGACTTAAATAGAGCATTTTTCAATCTGAAGATTTAGCCCTCTTTGTGGCCCCTGAATTGCTTCCAAGGGTTCCACAAAACCAGGCAAAATAGAAGTCACAGGGATCATGTATCACTGTCATGTTTCTAAGACTTGCATCCCCATAGAGAAAGAATTGCGAGTCCGTGAACTGTTTGAGGATGGAAACTCACTACTGTACTTGAATTCATGTAGCGACTGCAAGCTTTTAAGAGGCTGACTAACAGTCTGTCCTCCCATGTGCCCCAAGGTCTCAGGAAGCTGTGATGCACCTGGCCTGCACAGCTACCCCATGGGGCTCCAGTGCACCTTTGATTCTGCATTTGTAGGAGAACAGCTCAGTGTTGAAGGACAAAGCACAGCAAGCTTCGCTTACAAAGGTGAGCTGTTGCAGGTTGTTCTGCAAGTAGAATATTTCCACTTCTGTTATTTTCCATCATCCATGTTCTGTTGACATTAACTAGAAGTAATCCTTTTATGGTTGTAAAGCATTGCCTGCTTGGCTGCCTTCCAAATCAACGTGCAATTGGCTTGCCAGCCCTAAAACTGTTGAGTTTTTTTGGGGGCGGGGGAAGCTAATAATTATTTTAGGCTTAATGGGAGCAGAAGAGGTTCTACAATTAGAATTTAATAATCTATTTTCATATTAATTAAAACTAATTGTACTTTTTCATATGGCTATGGCTAGTGCCTATAGCAAGAGGAAGAAATGTATAGAATTTCATTACTTGAGAAAAACTAGAGTAAAAATAATAAACATCAAAACACAAAAACCTTGTAAGTAACTAGTTGCTCTTGCTGTGTTTTTAAAAAACTTTCTGATACAGCAAATTTATTAGTGAAGAGGCAGTGGTGTATGTCATCAGGTTCATCTTAAGGACACTGGTGTCACTGCTGTGTGACATGACTTTGTCAGTGAAAGGATAAGGGGCGACAGCTTAACTAGAAACATCTTCCTGCAAAAAAAGATTAGGAAAAATAAAACCCAATTACTAATAAGAAAGTTATTGCAGGGTGCACTTTACAGGTGCTCCCATGTTTGTGGTTGGTTTGTCTTCACATCCCAAAGAAAATGTATTGCAAGAGAACCTCTTTTGTTTCCTGCAGGGTCACTCGAGCTCCTTCCAAGCTTTCCTTCTAGAACTGCCTTGTAACAGGATTCAAGCAAGGTCTTGAGATGTCTGTTTGCTGCCAAGTAGTGTCTGGTATCAAAACTTAAATAGTGTTGCCCCGCCTACCCCTCAAGCCCCCCCACAGCCATGTGCCCTTACATGATCTCTGTAACTCTTCGGGTGAGGAGGAATCACTTGTCAGGGGTAGACTGTTGCTCTGTGAAATCTGGACTGAGAGTATGTGCCATCCCAGTTTCCTTTATCTTTTCATTTTCAGTCCTGTACAAAACACTTTTCACATAAAATGTGCTACAAATACACATGAAACAGGAAATACTTTTAAGTGTCATTTCTCTGTAGTATCTAAACTGCATTTCTTGCTGCACTCAATAATACTGTGCAGGTGTCAGACAACAAGAACGATGGAGAGAGACTTTTTACAAGGTTATGCACTGACAGGACAAAGGGGGAATGGCTTCAAACTGGGAGAGGGTAAGTTTAGATTAGATATTCTGAAGAAATTCTTTACTGTGAAGGTGGTGAGGCACTGAACAGGTTGTCCAGAAAAGCTGTGGATGCCCTATCTCTTGAAGTGTTCGAGGCTGTGCTGGATGGAGCTCTGAGAAATCTGGTCTAGTGAAAAGTGTCCCTGTCTATGGCAGAGAGGGTTGAACTAGATGCTTTTTAAGGTCTCTTCCAACCCAAGCCATTCTAAGATTCTATGAAATTAAACAAGGAAAGGGAAAGTATTTTAAAACTTGCTATTCTTTGCAAGTATCTAAGAATCGGCTCGACTTCTGTTAGTATGCAAGAAGGCGAGGTCGTTCTAACTTGCTGATGCTTAACAGAAATGGAAAGCCTGGGCAGGAGCGCCAGATGTAGAAAACCATTCTGAGGCAGTGGGTTGCGGTGTAAGTCCGAAGCTCGTGGCTTTTTGAACACTTGTCACTCTCTCTGGAGATAACCTGTCATCTCCCACTCTGACATGACGGGCGCCTTTCGCTGTCTCACAGCCCAGCTCAGACTTCAGTATCTGTCGAAGTCCCTCCACAGATGCGGAATTCCTCAGCCTCCGGAGCCCGTCCAGCGCCGGCGGCAGCACGCAGCTCGTACTTCAGCTGAGAGGGAGCCGCTCCGCCGACCGCTGTGCAGCGGGAAAGGCGAGGGCATAGCGACACGAGAAACCCCCAGGGCAGAGTGCGTGTGCCGCCGGGAGCGGTGCGCGGGTCACGGAGAGGGATCCCACTCGGATCGGGAATCCCCGCCCACTCCCGCCCCCTCCCGCCGCAGCGCCCAGCAGGGGGCGCGCGCGACCCACGCGCGGCGTTCGGGGCGGGGCCGGCCGGGCGATCTCCGCGCGCGCGGAGGGATCCACGGGTGGTGAGTGGGGAGGAGGCGGAGGAGGAGGCGGACGCGGGGCGGGGGTGGTGCGGCACAGTCCCTCTGTCCGTCCTCTCGTGCTCGCCGTGAGGGCAGGCGGGCTCCCCGCTCCAGGGGCGCGGAGGCCGGAGCCGGGACATCGCGGAGCTTCCTGCCCGCCGGCCCCTTCCGCTCCCCGGGTTCGGTGTCGGCCGAGGCGCGGGCGGGCGGGCCGGCGTCACCCCGTAGCCCCCAGGGGTTTATTGTGGCCGCAGGGCGCCCTCAGAGCGATACACACTGGAGGGGCCGGGAGAAATGGGCCTTCTCCAGAAGCCGCCTGTGCCCCGTCTTTCGTTCACGTGTCGGAGGGTCCTGGCGGTGCTGAGCCCTGCCGGCGGTCCCTCCGTGCTCTCTGAGAAGAGTGGGAATAGGCTACGTCTCCACATATTTAGTAATTCTCTGAGTCAGTTTCTCTTCTGCGAACTGTTCTTGTGTTACTTTGATGCGCTGTGAAATTCAGTCACCCAGGGATTCCGTGGCTCAGCAACACTTTCTGTCATGAACCAGCTCCTTTTGATAGTGTTTTTCTTATTGTTGTTTTGGGGGGTTGGGGTTTTTTTTGGTTTTGGTTTGGTTTGGTTGTTTGTTTTTTTTTTGTGAAGGCCGTTGCAGCCTATATTTGGCCTTTTAATTCTTGCTTTGGAAAACCGTGGTCCATCTCTGCCCATGATCATGTCACTCATGATTACAGACTGTCATACTCCTTCTCAGGTACTCCTTCCTCATTGTCCTACAAACTCATTGTCCTACAAAAGCTTTTCTAGTCTTTGGATGTCTCAATACCCTTCCTGAACCTTTTCTAGTTTCAGTATTTTCCCTGTTTTTTGTTGAGATAAAGAGACCACAGCTGCTATTCAGTTTTATTCTGTATGTGTTGGTAACTTGGAGCTCTTAACAGCTCCTTTTAAATTTCTTTGTAAATTCTACTTAATCGTGTTATCAGACACAATTCCCACACAGTCAGGAGATGTAGGATTATGATACATGATTCTCAAAAAACACAAAATCACTGTTTGGTGGCAGCCAAGAAAAACACATCAAATGGTAGAATTTTTTGGGAAAAGAAATAGAATGTAACAGAAAACATCATGAAACAACAGCATAAACATGATCACTCGTATCTTAGACATTGTGTAGAGTTCTAGTCTCCTCAAAAAAAGGGTATATTAGAAGGATTCAACAAGGAAGAGTGAATGCATCAAAAGACTTTTGTAAACCCATCAGAGAGGGTTAAGACCCTTCAGGCTAGAAAAGAGCCAGTTTGCTGAGTGAGGGAAAGGGGATGTCTTAGAGGTGTCTGTGAAATGACACGTGGAGAGAGTGTAGGGCTCAACCACTTGCTTTCTCTTCTGACACACCAAGTGTCTGCACCATGTGAAGCGAGTGCATGGTGTCACAGCAAGAAGAGATAGTTATTCATAAAATGATTGATAAAATGAAGCTTCAATAGATGACATTGTAGATGAAAAACTTTTATGGGAATTTGAGGGATACTGGACAAGTGTTTCTGAGAACAGCATTCATGGAATGAACCACTTCGGATGGAAAAACAGCTTCCTTAGTAGAAAATGGTTAAAGTCTATGAGAGTATAGAGTGGGGAGGTATCACATGTATTTGCCTTACCTCAGTCCTTTTGAGGCAGTGGTTTTGGCTGTCTTCAGGATGGAATGACCAGTATCAACCCTTGAGGACACAAGAATGACTGGTATCAATGCTTGACTTGAACTAGTACAGCCTTCTTCTTGAACCATTTGCCATGGACATGAACAAAAAGTTATTCGAACTGAATCCTGAAATGGAACTGTCTCAGATCTGTGGCAGGTTGTCTATGGACACAGCATTTGGATTCCTGTACATGATAACAAGCTCAAGCTTGAGCAGAGTGCAGTATCTTCTGGCTTTTGAAGTATCAGGGCATGTGTCTGGCCTTTAGTAACCATTCCAGTCCCTCAGATCAGGGCTTGTTTACCTCCAGGCAGGTGGTTGGAGCTCCTTCCAGGTGATTTTCATTATGGTTGCGCACCATTGCCCAGCCTTTCTTGGTGTGTGCTACAGACACCATAGATGATGAGCTGCTTGTCTCAAAGACTGCCTTGGGCAGCTTGGAAGAAATACAAACAGCTATATTTAACTCCATTTCATGCTCTCTGTCTTTAGATCCAAGTTACTCTAGAATAAGATCTTTTCTGAAGCTGCACATGTGCTTTTTATATTGTCGGTAAAAGATCTCAGGTGCATACACTGTCTTCCTCCTCCCCCTTCCCAGCTATGAACAGTGTGGCTTTCCAGTTGTATTTCTATTCCACGGCCTTTCAGCAGTCTCTCCTTTCCCCTTCAGCTAAGGAACATTTTACTACAATGAGATGACATCTTTAGGATGCCACAAAAGAATGAGCGGTGAAAAGTGGCTTGTACACCCAGCAAATGGTATTTCCAAGTTGTGTGGGCATTCAGGGAGCCCTGACTTACAGGTATGGGTTTAGGCTGACGCAGCCTCTTTGGCAGAGAGACATTGGAGTCACCTTTGGTGCAGTCTCTTGGTAAAAGTTCTGAAGCAGCAATTGGATACTTTACCAGGAGAGTATTTTTTGAGGTGACTTTGTAAATGTAGATCCCACCTCCTGCCTGCTTTTACCTGTATGAGAGGAGCTTCCTCTTGAGTAGTGCTGTGGATCTAGAAGGATCTAACCTCTGGAGCAAGCTACGTGTTCTGTCTTTGTGGGGTGAGGGCATGTAGGGCACTTGTCTCAGCTGACCTATGACTGCAGGTTTCCAGACACCTCTGGACAGGGGCACAGTTCCATTTGGGTGTAAGGGCTGTGCTCTGTCTCTGAGAATACAGTTTTTCAGGTGATCATAATTCCAGGTGGAACAAATGTACCAGGGACCAAAGACTGTTAATTTTTCCTATAGCATTGATACTTATGTTCCTTCTAACCTAGGGTATTTTTTTCCTCCGTTTTAGAATTTGACTGTATAAGATTAGAGTTCTCATACATGACATCTGGAAACTGTCATTAAATAGGTACAGGATTCTTGTGTAGACAAGGCCTTGGAGTCTCCTGTGCTACTATTATCTCTTTTAATTTATTTTTTGTTTTCTTTGAAGAGCTTTCACTCTGTAGTGATGACATTTGCCTGAACAGTTCATGAGCTAATAAGAGGGATTGAGCTGTGCAGAGGGGAAGGGACTAAGGAGTCTGCAGGCACCTCCACCCCCTTCCTCCTGCCTGCTACACTGTAGGCCATGTGGTGCAGTTGTAGTCACCTCACTTTTACTGTTTTATGGGTAGATCTGGCCCTTTAGAGACCAGTAGCATCTAAATTTGCCATTTTACTGTATGAACACAGTCCTGCCTTAAATAGTTCCTGTTCCACTGAATCTGTGCAAACTTACCCCCTTTTTTCCTCCTTTCCTTTAGGCTAACTTTGACTTCACCATGAGTCTTATTTTCCTAAACTTCATGCAGTGTTCTTGAGCTATTCTTGGAGATCTGATTTTTTTATCATTTTGCTTTTTTTATTGTGTGCAAATGCAACATGTAAACTAAGAATTAATAGTAAAGAAGATCTGTCACTTTGCTACTTTTAAACTTTGCATTCCTATTAACACAAGGGTTTAGTGTAGGTAGAATGGCTGGATCAGCACTGTATGTGTTATGAATGCTCTGAATTCCAGGGCATTCCTAAAACACAGCCCTGAACCCTTGTGTGGCTCATGTAGGGAGTCTACATGAGGACAGAGAAAGGGCTGCTGGTGAGGGACCCAGGGCCTGGGGCAAGCACAGGTGGGTCAGCTGGAGCCTCAGGGGTCTTGGGAATTAAGAGTGTAAAGGTTCTCTAAGAGCCAGAGGCACTATGGGTTTCTGTGCTTCTTCCCATCCTCTCCCAAATGTTTCAGGGTTGCTTCTGGACTTGAGAGCAGTGAACTGGAAGGGGTATAGAGGGGCTTTCAAACAGCAGAACTGTCTCCCTTAAAGGATTTACAAGTCTTTTTCACATAAACTCACTTTAATATTTTTTGTATGTAGTTCTTAAGCACAAGAATTTGTTCATGCTAATGACCTAAGTCAGAATATGTGCATTCAGAAAAATATATTGAATTTTGGGAGTATTCGTAATAGATGTACAATATATTTCTACCATATGTTCTGAGTTACCTCTCCTCGCAACCTCACAGTTAATTACTGCTTAGTTCCTAAGGCTTTAATTTACAAACCAAAAGGAAGGCTATTAAAAAGTAAACTGAAAAATTATTAATAGATAAAAGATGTCTGTGGGAGTATGCCTTTTTATCTACTGAAACAGTGGGAAACTCTTCATCAGCAATTTTGTCTGTGAGGGTTTCATTTCACGGGCATGGATTTAGTCCTTGCAAATGCCTGTATGGGCTCACTGAAGAGAAAATAAAGATTCCAGCTTTTGACTTAAGAACTGCGACTTTGCATCTGTTTCAGTTTCTTAACGTCAAAGCATAGATGTGTCCTTGCTTAGGGGATAATAGCAAACCAGATTACTACATGTATCAGTCACTTAAAAAAAAAAAAAGAAGTTGTGAGTTAAGGAGCGATTTTAAATTTTTAACATGTCCTAATGAAAATTCATTGTTGTATAGGGCCTAAAATGGATCATAGTGTTTTGTATTGTAAGAGCATTGTGTCTAGAAACTGTATTATCTGGCTGAACTTGCAGTCATTTTTATAAAAAATACTTTAATACATAATTTAATAATGTATTTATTTTTAAAAATAGGGGGGGGAAATTACGATCTTGGTCTTACTAGGGAGCTTGACTTTGAAATTCTCCTCTTGCTTGAGGCTAACACCATAGGTGGGTTTTTAGGCTCTGAATGATCCCTTGTTTTGCAGGCCTGGCCTGAGAAGCCAGCAAGTCAGTAAGCAATATTTTGGAAAAGCCAAGTGCTTTCCTCTTATCCCATGTAGGTGCGTACGGTGTCACCGGAATGGTAGAGTAACTGTGTGAGTCACCCCACAGTGGCAGGTTAAGGTATCTTTTTCCAGCAAGCAGGGAGAAGCTGTTTTAGGAAACTTCATCTTGAAAGCTCTGCAAGAGTGGAAGGAAGGGTTGACGGGGAGGAGACTGGAGTTGTCATTGCAGTCCAGGGGACAGGGAGAAGAAAAACCCTGAGCGGCTATACTTGAGATGACTCACATTCACGCACTGTTCACGTGGTACGTGGTTCTCAGTGGCTTCTGCATAAAGTCAGGCGTACTCCCGTTTCCAGGCTCTGCTGAAGTCATTGCTTGTGTGCTAGTTCTGAGATTGGGTGCAGAGAAAATGGGTTTCTTCAGAGAAGAATATTTTCCGGTTTCGTCCAGTAGTTTCCACGTGTTGGGTCATTTCTGGCACCGTCGTTCCACGAGGTGGCACCGTCCCTTCTGCAGAGGACACAAACTCTGCTGCACTGCCTGGGGTCAGCAGGGCTCAGGCATTCTGCACAGCAGAACCCATGTCAAGAGTTCTCTGGAAATGGCTGTACTTTTCCATTAGTATATACTGCGTCTCTTGACACAAGTTATGTCCAGGTTTTTACACGCAAAATGCACAAGTTTTCAGTGGAGTAGGGTTAGAAAAACATCTTTATGAGCTTCTTGCCTGCCTTTTTTTTTTTTTTTAAAGTTTCTGGCATTCAGAAGAATCTTTTTATGGCAAGGAAGTTAAAGCCAGGTGATGCTGACCTAGAATGCTGGTTTACTTCATTTTGAGTCAAAATTGTGTAACTTTGAACATGGAGAGGAATGACCAGTAGCTGTCATTATTTCTAGGAGAAAAGGGAATAATTTCTATGGGATTTTTCAAATCCACTAAAGGAGTTTTTTTCTGAAAGGTGATACATACAAAGTATATGGATTCAGGAAACCAAGAACTGTAATGACAACTTCCTTGTAAGAATAAAAGCCAAATCTGTGTTGTACAGAAAGGGAACAGTGTTGCTACTGTTCCTAAATTCTCTGTGGAGACGTTATTTCCGATTGGCCTCTCACTGATTTAAGACCACCTAAGTAGAAGGAATATGTTTTCTTTTGTTAGGAAGTTTTTATTTTTAGCTGCATTGTTGGTGGAATTTGTTTTACCTCAGAAGATTATGCTGTTATTAAAAGCATTCACCATTGAAAAGGTTGATTTAGTGAATTTATTTTTTTCTGTTTGACATCTAGGAAAATGGATGATGATGACGATGACATTCCTCAGCTTTCATCCCATACATTGGCTGCCCTCCAGGAGTTCTATTTGGAACAGCAGCAGAGAGAGGGCATGAAGACCTCCCAAGGGTTTAATCAATATTCCATTGGCTCAATAGAAGAAGATTGGGTAAGAAACTATAAACCTCCATGAATGAAGCACAGATGGAGGAGTAGCCTTTACTGAGTTTCTTTTGTGGATGGATAATGAAATTAAATTAAAAAGGGGAACACTCAAGATGTTCCTATTCATGGATGGCAACACTGTAGGGAGATCTGTTTTACTATTTAATCTCGGTATAGTTGTCTCTTCTACATGTGTGGGGGAGTACAAACTGAAAGTACATGGAGGGGGAATAAAGCTGCTGACAGAAACATCTGTCCCTTCTGGAAATTTTAACCTGAGTTTGGCATGGGAAGGTAGTGAAGACTCCTCCCTGAGACTGAGACAAACACAGTGTAACAAGATCAAGTGATCTTTCCTTTCACTTCATATTTCTCTCTGTGTTTTATTTCTTTGTTTTTGTGGATGGCTGTTTCACTGCTTGTTTTTATTTGTGACAGACTGACTTTTGATTTGTCTCTGGATTGTTTGGTGGTTTTTTTTGCTCTTCCTTTTCCTGATCCCTTCTGATTTAGTAGTTTATCCTTTATTTTCTTCTATACTGTCACTTTTCAGGGTCCTTTTTCTTCTTCTGCTAAAGTAACTCAATTTAAGAGCACATAAGTATTGTGCATCTGCACATGGGGTTTGAAATAGCCTTGTCAGTGGTTTGGATTACCTGGTTTTCCTGATAGTGCCATGCATGCTTTGGAAACATGTGGTGTAAGCTACCCGGATTCCAGAAGTAGAAAGACTGTCAGGAAAATAGTTACTTTTCCAGCGTTACAGTTTATGAACTGGGAGGTTGCTGTGGATTTTGGTTTTCTTCAGTTATGACTCACCACACCTCACTGTACATAACACAGTCAGAAGTTTTGATGTTGTTTGTAATTGTGCATTATTTCTCAGCAACTGAGCCAGTTTTGGTACAGCGATGAAACTGCGTCGTGCCTGGCCAAGGAAGCGGTTGTGGCAGCTGGAGAAGGTGGCAGGTAGGATTTAATAATGGCATTGTAGATTTAACATGTCTTTTGTTTCTACTACAGAGAGTATGCAGTTTAATTCATTACTCATTGTACTTCACCTTTGTTCAACTGCAGTATTGCAGAACTGCTTTGCTGTTATTTAGTTAATAGTTTATACTGATCTTCCCATTTACCATTTTACTGAATGCTGTAGGCTGTGTCTTTTTAAAAGTTTACTATGAATCTTTTTATTTTTTGAGAAATACAGAGAGCTCTAGAGCATATTAGTAACTTGTAATTATTTTCTCTGGTTTTATACAATGTTTCTGTAGAACAGATGCAAAAAGTTGTTTTCTTCCTATTTCTATACGAAGTAATTTTTAATTTTAAGTTTTCAAGTATATTTCCTTGCTTTTCTGAAACAAGATTTTCTCTGTAGTTAGGCTTAAGGTCTTTGTGCAGCATGGAGGTTGAATAGGTAATGGCTTAAAGTTATTAAAGTGTAATTAGTTGTCAGAATGGAGAAAGAATAGCTTACATTTTGGGGACTAATGTTTAAAAATGTTTTTCCCAAAGCAGCTGTGACGACTGGAGTAGGGGTTTTGTTGCTGTTGTTTGCCCTTTAAATCAATATTCTCAGTTATTGTGTCTTTTTCAGGATAGCATGTGTTAGTGCACCGAGTGTGTACCAGAAACTGAAAGAACTGGATGGTAAAGATTTTTCAGTGTGTATACTTGAGTACGACAGAAGGTTTTCTGTATATGGAGACGAATTTATCTTCTATGATTACAACCAGCCTTTGAACTTACCTGAAAATCTCCTGCCACACAGTTTTGACATTGTAATAGCAGATCCACCCTATCTGTCTGAGGAATGTCTTCAGAAAACTGCAGAGACGATCAAATACTTGACAAAAGGAAAGATACTGCTTTGCACAGGTATAACTAGTAAAAATATTAGGTCCCCATAAGGATCTTTTTCTCTCTCTCAAAAGACAAACTCGCTCATGTGAGAGAAATATTAATATTAAACTATAATATTAAATTATCGTTAATTTAAGGGGCAGTATGTGTCCTAAGCTTTATATTTGAATACTTGAGTTCAACCTTTGTTTTAAACTGGAGGAAATGGTTTTTAATAGGACTTTTGAAAGTCAGGTTTTTTTCTTACAGCATTGCGAGTTTTACTGAATTTTGGAAGAATTATAAGGTCATCTTGCAAAGTTCCAGAAATACTTTTTCTCTTGTAAGAAGGCCACTCTCTGTAATTGCAATGATTGAAGTCGGGGTATGGCAAACATAGGTGCAACTTACTGTTGGTATCCTAGGCACTGAAATACAGCAGGAGGAATTAAAAACCAGTGATAAAAGCAGTGAAACTAGATAACTAGATAATTGTACTTGCAGGTCCTTCTTTATGAAAATGCACTTGCTGACTTAAGAAGTGATGTGTATCTGCCTTAGTCATGTCATTTCCTAAACTGTATTGTTATTACAAGACACCTGAAGACATCTGGGAAACTTTTGCAAAAAGCAAAGGACAAAAGCCCTTTTTACGTACAACTTGGGGGAAGTCAACCAAGCAGGCAAAGTAAATAAAAAATTAAAAGGTGGCCATAGAAAGTCTACTTCTTGGCTTAATTGCTCATGGCAGTCACGGGGTGGTTCTGCCTAAAATGGGTAGGTGGTCCTTCAGTTTACAAAGTTTGAGAAATACTGTTCAAGAAGTGATTTCTCAGTGCGTAGCTGTGGTTTATTTAAGTGGAAGAGTATATGTAATCTGTTTGCATTTCCCATGGCTCCCTACCATTTAACTTGCTACATACTTGGCATGTAGCAAGAAGACTGAGTTCGAGTTTCTTTTCTGTATAAAGGGCACTGATACCCTCTACCTATTTTTATGAAAGTTTTTGGACATTTGTTTCCTTGGGGTGTCTTCCATTCTTTTAGATTTATTTTAAATTTCTCAATAGATTCAGTTGTTAAGGAAGGCTGACAATGTAGCTGCTTTAAGCCTTCCTTCCGTAAAAAAAACCAGGCTCTGTTATATATGCATTTGTGAGGAGCTACTAAAAAAGTCCAAACATTCTGTTACTGTTTTTCTTATTGAATACCAATTATTTATGCTGCAGGTGCCGTCATGGAGGAACAGGCAGCAAAGCATCTTGGTGTGAAGATGTGCAAGTTTATTCCAAAACACTTGCGAAATTTAGCCAATGAATTTCGATGTTATGTGAACTATGCTTCTGGACTGGACTGATTTTCATAAGAAGATCTACAACTTCTTCAGTCAAGCTGCTTTCTGGTTTTTATCAGTGACTCCACAATTCTCAGTGCTGAAATATTTAGCTCTGAGTATTATTTCCTGGGCTAGCTTTAATCAACATGTGTTAGCCTCTCTCTTTTAAATGAGTAAGCATTTGCAGTTACTGTGTTTGTATTTTACCTATTAGGTAAATGTGGACCAAACAATGCAGGGGCTGGATAACAGGAACTTCTCTGTTCGAATTTAATTCTAACTGGTAACTTTTACAATTCAGAGACCTTTTTGAAGTGATTTTAGCTTATAACAACACATAGGTGCTTGCTTTGCAGACATCAGAATTGTCATTGCAAAAGAACTTGATACTTCTGTAGTAATGTTAGTCCCTTAAATCTTGAATCATAGCAGTTCTGATTAAATATATTGCCTGCTTTTTAATAGATTTCAATATCAAACTAAAGATGATTTACAGGTATATCAAGTTTATAGTTACAAAAACAGTTTGTTTTTTTCCAGTTGCCCAGTTTTCTTTCTCTCCTGTTCCACAGACAACAGCAGAGCAGTAGAAATTGTTGAATTTCTTAGAAAATGTTGAATCTTAAAAGGCCACTGAGGAATAATGTAATGTATTGATAAACCCCCACTGTTTCAAATGTTAGATTTCATATACAAGGTTTGGACTATATTTCAATCAAAATAGATTATACATCATTAGAAAAATTTTGCTTAGGGATAGTAGACATTTTTGGTAACTGGGAATTTCTAAAGTTAGTTTTGACTAACTACACTACTAATGTATTTTTGGGTGAAAGTTGGTTCATAAATTCCAAGGCACTCAACAGTTTATAATCTATAAATACACTGTACAAAACACAAGTAATTGTCTTTATATGCCATATTGTGTAAAAGGCTAACAGAAATGCTTCATCTACAAAATGTATCACCTAAAACGAAGTATTGAGAAATTTATTTTGCAGTGGGAATAAACCTTATTAAGCTTGTGAGACGAGATCTTTTTATAAGGTAGAGATAACACTCATGTTTCTGTGCATTCCTGCTGTTTACATGCAGATTTTCCCATCTGGTTGAGTAAACAACTGAGGAGGAATAATGTAGATAGAATTTAATCCTCTCTCAGTGCTCACAGTATCGTGCTGCCTGAGCTGGACACAACAGTGGTTCATAAATAACCATCCAAGCCACTGTAGCTCTCTTCTCCATTTTCCAAGAAATCTGTTTATTTCCTAAGGCTTTTCCCTCCTCACGCTTTATACCTGCTGTTCCTGAGTTTCATTATAACAGTTTTCTTTCTCTTTCATGGCCTTGGCTTCTGTCAGACAGGCAACAGGTTTGTTAAACGAGGCAGCGCTTGCAGGAGAACAGGCACCAGACTCTTCTGACAGCCTCCATGAGCCCATGGCCAAAACCAGAAGCCATCCTTGCCGCTGAGCCAGGATCCCCCCTGAAAATACCTGTCCACGGGTGACATACAGCTGGGTTTAGTTGTTTTCCAGGAGGCTTCACCATCACTTTTATGTGGCCAGTTTAAAAAAAAAAGCAAACCAGAGTGTTAATTGCACGGTTATTGGCACAAGTCTGTACTTCACAATTGTAAACTGGTTTATTACCAAGCAGATGGAGACAATGAAATAACTCATGAAACTTTGTTTATAACTCCATGGAGGCTTCAAGGGGGACAGGTATGATTGTCAGAAGGGAGGATATTCTTCCCCTGCCATCCACCTAAATTAGGATGTGCTGTTCAAATCGAAGCTTCACCTATATTGCTGCTTTGCTATTAGTTCCTTCAGTTCTTTGCTTTATTTTGGTAAATGTGTGTTGCTGGGCTCTCTACAGCAAAATCAAAAGACAACTTTGCTAGCTTCATCAGAGACCTTTCTTAAAAAAAAAAATAAAACTGCACCATTCAGTTATACCAAGAAATTCACTTCCAAGAAAATAACTGCTGCTTCTCACATGTAGGTCAGACAGCTTTGAAAAGAGGCACTGTGAAGATGCACAGTTATGAAAATGAGAGTACATATAAATCTGTGCAGATGCACTCAACAGAGCAGCCCGTTGTCCACCAAATTCCCTCTTAAAAACCTGATGAGTGCAGGCAGTTGCCCAAGCAGAGCTTGACTGGTGGCTTTTACAGACTTCATCAGTGATGGAAGGTAAGCTGTTTTTGTCCTACGTGATTCCAAGGCAGAAGCTATTTCTGAGAAGGTACAAGTCACAAAAATTCATAGTGAATTTCTGCTTTGTGCCATCGTGGTAACATTAAGAAATATTATGTGACAACAAAATCTCTTTTCTGTAATAGGATTATGAATAAAAACATCAGTGTCAAGTAGTGATTGATTTTCCTTACTGCTGATGTCTCATGGATGGACTTTCCGTTGGAGCAGACTGGTGGAGTGTTAGCACCATGCTGCTTTTCCGGGGGCATTTATGACTACAGAGTCCCGTGCTACAGCCTCTTATCTGCAGTAACAGGTACTGTGCAGGAGCAGGACATCTCAGTGCCCTGCTGCTGGTATGGCTGGGACACTTGGCAGAGAAAATGTGGAGGCTTGTTCACAGGCTGGTGGCCGTAGGTGAATAGAATACACTGCAGCTGCCTGCACCTCACCCCAGATGAGAAATGAAATGTTTCTGGAAATGCAGTTGCATGAAGTCCAAGGTACTGCTGCCAATAAGTTCTGCACTTCTGTTAAAAATATCACCCTCGGCTTGGTGTTGCAAAGGTAGCCTGTCTCTGCCACACAATTGCTTCCACCCCTCTGCCCGTGCCCCTCTGGACCAGAGCAACTGGGAGGTATCTCTGATAGTTGGTTCGGTCACTCTGCCTTCGTTACCTGGGAGCAGCCCCAGTGCCATGCACTGAGATGGGAAACAGGGCAGCTGGAAACAGGTTGCAGAAGCCCCTCGTCAGCCAATGTCAGAGCTGTGCTGCTGCTCTGAGTCTGCTCATGTTCTGTAGCCTCCTTAGATGGGAGCACCGCAAAACCAAGTGGTAGCTCATGCCACCAAAACACGTGGGATTGACTGAATCTCCCTTGTGCCCTAGTCTAGGTAGTTATGGCTGTTCCCTAATCCCACTGAGATTAATGGGGTTAGTGGGGTTAATGCTTTGTGACCACATTACAGCCTTTTTCCCTTTTCCCCTTGTGGCTTTCATGTTCATGTTCCCCCACGCAATTCCATGTACACTTGCAGCTGTAGATCTCTACCTATTCAGACAAACATCTTCAGGTAATGACTGGCAAGTAAACCAAAACTAGCATCTCAGGCTTTTCTCAACCTTCCTGAATGACAGGAATTTTCCAACCTATCTTAAGCGATACTACAGAGAAGAAAATAATGTCTTTACCAAGGATATTGTTCTGTGTTTTGTGGCTTCTAATATATTCCAGGGACAACCTCGTTGAAGGAAAAGATTTTCCTGGCACAACAAAAAATTTTCTCAAATCAGCTGCAGCTGCCAGATAGTTCCAGCTTTGAATTGTTTGCATTTATTGGGGCTGGAGTTGGTTCAATGAGGCATTTCATGTCTGCCTTCTGTCAACAGTTTGTGAAACCTTGAAGCAACTCCAATGAACCCTCCCTCCCCCATGCAAATTAAAGGCAAGGCTGCAGCAGCTGTAACCAGAGGGCTAGAAGCTGGAAAATGTCACACCACATTTGAAGTCAAACTGATATAAATCCATGATGTGATGACCTCGTTAAAAAAAAAAAAACACAATTCCAAACAAATGCAAACTACATTTAATACTCAACCTTTTCAACATGAGTAATGTGGAGAGAAAGAATAGATGGAAGGGTATTTTGAAGATGGACAAATGTTTGCGTAGCTAATGGTTCGTTAAGTATTAACAAACAGTTGTTCACTAACAAACTATCAAACAGTTGCTGGTGCTAAAACATAAACACGGATTTTAAGAGACACGTAACTGGAAAGCTGGATTGGGAAGCAAATTGGCTCAGCTAAAAAGTCTGTCACAGAAGAGGGTAAAGATTAAAAAAGGAAAACAGGCTTCTGATCAAGATAACATGAAGATGCTTGTAACCATGGGAAACTTTCTGCACTTGTTGCAGTGTGACGAGAAGGAGGTTGCCAACATACTCATTCTATTGATCCACTGAGATTTTGCAGTTCTGTAGTACTTTCAGTCATCCAATTTCTGAAGCTCTACGTAAACTAAAGCATCTGTTTTACTGGATTGAAGAAACTGATTATGTTCCATTTACCTAATCTTGGTTTGCAACTCCCAGGAATTCCCAGAACATGCTCTAGTTACTTGAAAACCTCAAAATTATTCCAATAACTAATGCCTGCAGGACAAGAGTTGCAACAAAAGAAGTGAGATTTTTTTTTTTTCCTCCACATCATGCAAATATATCCATGTGCTCCAATAACTAATTTGTTGCAGACAAATTTGTATAAGAAAAGTGTGTGGGCAGACAGATGAGTTCTGCTGGAGGGCAGTGTTTAGCCAGAGGTTTACCTGGTAGCCCCTCTGGGTATTTACTACATGTTACATGCTGCGTGGTTTGACATTTTGTTGTTGTTGTTTGGGATCATTTTACTGCCTTTTAAGATGAAGACGTTGCTTTCTATGCTGTGAAGTCTGAAGGTCCATCTTCACCCTGCCTGAAGTGTGTGTGTGGAAAAAAAACCCACAATGTAGTAGTGAAACTGTAAGATGACAGGCTGCTGAAACATCATCCAATGCAGTGTTTCTCCAGTTTTGTGGGTCTGTCTCCCTTTTGAGCCCCTCTGATTATCATTTCCCTCTGCTCAGAGGGTAAGAAGTTCTTCCACATTAGGAGGAAGGAAAAGTGGTTGTAACTGCTGCAAGTATTTACATTCTCTGGGGAACAGGTAACTACCTCTAATTGCTGGCAGCAGCTAGGCAATTAACTGTTCTCTGAGTAGTATAAACACTTTATGACCTTGTTTGAACTCTCCTTTGAGGATTCCCTTGAGATAGAAGCATCACAATTTGAGGAAACACAGATCTAAAGACAAGTAGAATTGAGGAAAAGCATCTGCACAAAAGACACAGTTACAAACTTCAATCTGACATCATAAAGGGAATCTTTTATTCATTAAGCTATTTTAGGCTTTGTACGAAGTTACATAAATTGCACTGAAAAAATACTGTTATGCTAGACTGAGTTATAGAGAGCACAGTCCATAATTGTGCACCAAGATAAGTAGTTGTTGTATGACTTTCATTCTCTGTTTAACTTGTTAATTCTGGTTAGCTCATAGTCTTTCCATTCTTCATCCAACAACAGTCCAAAGTGTGTGTTTGTGTAGTGTAGGGACTTTCTCCACTATGAATTAAAGGCCAGTTTTGAGATTCTTGATGTGGCAAATGCATTGCTGCATAGGATGTTTATTCTGTAAAAATATTGCAGTCATGCTCCTTCAGCTGTAAAAGATAACTCTGCTATGCATTCAGAGGTTGATCAGTTTTGGCGAGTGTGGCCCTCTGAGGAATTATGTTTGTGCAAGGCATGCCTGGTTATTCCTGATTCTCATTCACTACACTGGTACAACATTCAGTCTCTTGTTCTGGAAATGCAAACTTTTGTTTATCCAGGGTTTCTGCTTAGGGCTTGCCATCAAGTTCCATCAGCACTAAGCTGCACAGATGGAAGATGGTGCTTCCATGGACTAGCAGCTCTTGCAGGTGATTGTTACGTGTGGCATAGGGAAAACTGAGTAACAGTAATTGTATAAATTGTTTGGACTGGGACTCACTTCAATAAACTTCTTGTAGCATCTAGAAGTTAAGACCTAGCCTGCTTACTCACCTGCAGTGTACTTGAGATGGAGCCTATCCTCTGTACTTATTTTTTAAGTGGGGAATCTCCTCTCCTAACATGAAAAAGGTTTTGGCCTTTCAACTGTACAGATACAGTTTTATCACAGGAAACAGTTAAGCAGTTAGTGATGGATGAAATCTAATATAGAATTCTTGGGACCCAAAGTGTGTTTTTTCTAACTGATATTTTCTGTGTAATTAGATTTGGTCCACATCAGAAAAGTCTGCTGCAGTTTTACAATATTCTAGCATGTTTTTTCTCAACACTTTTGTACCCTTAGCAATTTGGCAAATTTAAAAAAAGCAAACACATAGAATATTGTTTCATTAATAACTCTAACTCAGCAAAGGTTTCCTTACTGTAGTGTTTAAATAGCCAAAGATGTAACAGCCAAGAACACTGCTTGGAGTTTATGCAATGTAAAGGAAGGCTCTCCCAGCCTGAGAAATTATCCTTTTAACTGCTGATTTGGCACATGTCCGGCAGCTATGTGATTTTTATTTAAGGGTACTTAAGAGTATAAGAGATTCTTTAAAAATATCTACAACCAGCAGCCTGCTATAATAATAGTTAACATGTCTTACAATTGCATCATCTTCTAAAATTTACTGTGAATAAGCAAGGATAAAATGTTCTGCTCTAAGAAAAAGAAAAAAGGCAACTTTGGAATTTGCAACAATGAACTCAACAAGTTCACTAAACAAGTGTACATGAACTAAAGAAGTTCTTCATACGAATCACCATCTCTAATGATCTGAGTGACTGGACAAAACTTTCCATCTTATAACTGAAATAACTGTAAGCAGAAAAAGAGGGCAAGTCAGTGTGTTTGCTGCTGTGTCGCGGTTTCCTGAGGTGGTGAAATGTGAACGTGAGGCCAGTACTGTAACACGATTCCTAATATGTTCTTCATTCTGATGAGGGCTTGTTCTGGCTCACCAGCAACTTCACCTCTTGCTTATCTATGCTGGAATTTACGCTTTCGGCCTCCTTTTCTGGCTCAGGCACACAGGTGCAGCCCACTGGGATGGTGATGTAATCCTCTGTGTAGACGTAGCGGCCCCCGGCACACGAGGACGTGCGGCGCAGGATGACGGTCGGCATGTACACAGGGGTGCTGCGGAAGTGGAAATTCTCCTCCCCAAAGATCCCCATGAGGCAGCCTTTGCACAGACAGTATGCTTCAGGGATGTATTTGGGATATCGTGTGGGATCATAGGAAATTCTGTAGGAAAGCAGATAAAGATTCGTTAGTACCTCTAAAAATAGATATATTCCTTTGGAGTTATATAATGTTATTTATTATTATTATTTAATTATAATAATTATATCATGTTTTTGTTGTCTTTGCCGGGGAAAACAGCTGTGGCTATTGGTGTCTGGGTTCTTATTTGTAAAGAAAAAAACATGCACAACTATCAGAACTGATCAGGTCCTACAGTGCACACAGAAGTATGAAGCATTTGGCTTTCTGAATTGTGAGATTCAGGGGTTTAAGAAGAATAAGTTTTGTGGTTTGGACTGAATGGGTAAATAGAGCATCACAAAGGACACTTGGGCATTTGATCTGCCTTGAGTTCTTCAAAAATTGGTACAAATCCTTGTTAACATTATTTTGTTAAAAACATGACATGATGTTTAAAGATTAATAATTTAAATAGAATTGAATTGTACTATTATTTCTGCAATAGCTTTTGCCTGCCTGCATTGGAGTTTTAAAGGTGCCTTCCCCTTGAAAGCAGAAGTCTCTAATTCACCTCTGTCTCTTCCTCTAACCAGAGAAAAGTAGTATTTTCATGCCCACATTGAGATAAACTGCAATGTCAGTGTTTTTTCTGCCCTGACCTGCTATATTTTGAAGTAAAGCATTGCCTCAAAGCTTCAAGAGTATAGCCTCTATTTTTTGTTGTTTCACCATTTGTTGTTTTTCCCTTTCTTTTTGCTTATTAATGCTCTATCTCTAGAAGTTCCTTATTAGTAGAAACAAAGCTTTTAATCTAAGCTTCAGGTTGGACATTAGGAAAAATTCCTGCACAGGAAGGGTTGTCAAGCACTGGAATGGACTGCCCAGGGAGGTGGAATCGCCACCACTGGAGGTGTTCATGAAGCAACTGGACATGGCATTTAGTGCTATGGTTTAGTTGACAAGGTGGTGATCGGTCAAAGGTTGGACTCAATAATCTTGGAGGTCATTGCCAACCTTAATGGTTCTATGATTCTAAGTACAGCTTGGATCAGCAAAGCCCAAGTTTTGTCATTCCTCTCTGGATGTTGCTGGATGCGTAAACAAGGATGTGATACTATGGTCTCAAGTCACACAGATCCTGGCTGACCTATTGCCATTGCTTTTAGCAAGGAGAGTAAAAGCTGATAAAGTCTGCTTGTTTTACAAAATAAAAGACTAAGTGCACAGCAGAGTACATATACTGGAGTGTGTAGCCACACTGCTTATTGTGATGCTGATGTATTTGTTGCCTTGTTCTTTACCTGCTTTTCCTGCTTATACTGGAAGTAATTACCAGGCATGGCTGTAACTTGTACATTATTAGAATGGTGTGCCCTTATTGTAGAAAATATGTTTACACCTCCAGAAAATGAGGATTTTTAAAAATACCTTCAACTCCTATGCCTGCCACTCTCCTCTTTGCACCTTCAGGTTTCCTCCAGATAACCTTCTGCTGTCACACCATTACAGAACTAGCCCTGCTTCAGCACTGGTTCTGCTGTCCAGCTGGGGAGGGATGATGGCTCCCTTTGACTGGAGAAGCATTCAGCCCAGAAGCACAGCCAGTGCTCCTTCCTCAGGGCCCATCCCTGCTTTGGGAGGATGCCAACCTCACATATGTTATCACGTGCCCACCTGTCAGATAACAGGAAACCCTTTTCTGCCCTTTCCCCTGCTCCTACTTTCACACCATACATGGTCAGATGCACACAGTGCACAGCAGAAGTGTCCTATGGGCTGATGCTGGCATGGAGAGAGTATGAAGACACATCAGAAAGTCATCTGTGACTCCATGGGGCAAGATCAGTTGTATTTGCCCATGTTTGTCCAGCCCATTCTTAAAAAGCTCCAGCAGAGAACCCCAGCCTGCCCAGAGGCTCCGTTGCAATACTTTGCTGCCTCTTTACTTGATACATTTTCCTGACAGTGAAGTGGAGCATTATTTTTCTTGAAAACTAAATCAATGACTTCCCATGTTAGGGTGGTAAATCACAGCAGCTGAGGATAAAAATTTGAGTAAAAAAGATTTGATACCAGAGAGAATGGTCAATCCTGTAATGTTTACCATGAATTGCTGTAAGAACAGTAAAAATTCTTGCAGTGGGTTTTAAGCCATCCTCTACTTGGGATCAGGATAGAACCACAATGCAGTAGATGAAGTAAGGCAACTGCATAACAAAAATGAATCAAATACCAGTCATCAAGATAATTATTTATAGGATAAAACAAACTACTGAGTATACAATACCCCTTTCCACAGCCATTTTAAAGTAACTGATTTTGAAAACCACAATAGAACCATAGAATCATAGAATGGTTTAGGTTGAAAGGGACCTTAAAGATCATCTAGTTCAAACCTCACTGCCAGGGACACCTTCCACTAGGCCAGGTTGCTCAAAGCCCCATCCAGCCTGGCCTTGGACACTTCCTGGCATGCAGCAGCCACAGCTTCTCTGGGCAATCTGTGCCGGTGCCTCATCACCCTCACTTACTAATTCTTCTCAATATCTGATCTAAACCTATCCTCTTTCAGTTTGGAGCCATTACTACTTTTCCTATCACTACCTGCCCTTTCCTGCTCTATTGTAGGCCCCTTTTATAGATCCTGAAGGCTCTCAGCCTGTCTTCATAGGAGAGGTGCTCCATCCTTTAAAGCATCTTTGCAGCCCTCCCCTGGACTTAATCCATTTTATGGTGGGGTCCCAGAGCTGGATGCACTGCTTCAGGTGGGATCTCTTAACAGATCTTAAAGTGATCTTAAATTTTAATAGATTTAAAGTGATTTCTAAATTATGTTTCCCAGGGTTTGCAGCACTTCCTTGGGTATCATAGCGTTAGCCTTTTATCTTCTCAGGTCATCTCTTAGGTGAGAAGAGGTTTCAGCTGTGGAAGAAGCAGCATAAGTCTGCCTCAAGCTGTGACTGCAGTCACTGCTAGTCAACAAAATCTGTACTTGCAAAACAGGCAGCCTGGCTCTCCCTCTCACACCCACCCCTGGGTTGATGCTGATGTTTTTCTGGTCACAGGATTGATTAAAGAACTCATTCAACTAAAAAGTAACTTCATTGAAAGCTGTGTATATCTTGCCACATATACACAGAGATCTACACCAACAAGCCAGCGGGAACAAGTAGCTGTTGATGGGGGCAGAAGGGAGCTGCCTTTTTCAGAATCGTCACCTGTTTATCAGGTTAAAGGAAACCTGGAATCACAGCTTTGGCCAAACACAAACTTGATTATCCTGTCATCAAAGAAAAGAGACTTTTTAAATATATATATAATGGCCATTATATATATATATATATATTTAAAGAATTGGTTTTCCTCACAGAAAAACCTGTCCAGTTCTCTCATAGCCAGACACCGGTGATGTTGCAGATATTTTCTGCAAAGCTTCTCTGTTCCATTTATACTTGTTTACTTTCCCCAGGAAATACCTTCATGTTACAGGATCTCACATCAATGTGAAATAAATGTCTGGTAGCTAGCAGAAGGGAAGAAAGGGGAATACAGGTCTTTCTACTGTGATACATTCCCGTTTCAAACTCAAGTGTGAGTAATTTCAGTGGTAGATTGTTAAACACACCATATGTCAAGTCATTGGTATTTTCTCTACTGTATTATCTCTAGCACCTGGTTTATGATGTTACTGGAAAGCATGAACATGCTTCTGCATGCAAACATAAGAGTTTTCACTAGTAACAGAAGAACACTGGAATCATGGTCTACAACAAACTTTCCCCTCCAAATTCCCACATGGAAAAAGTCAGGTATAAACTGGGGGCTTTTCTGGAAGGATGGTGTGGTTGTGGCATGGTTTTCTACTTTCCAAGGAAAAAATCTCTTGTATTACTAAGTTTGATGTAGACACCTCTACTCCATCATGTGGGGAATTGGAAGGATGATGGATTGAAAATATAGATGTGGTTTTGCATCCAGATCCAAGCACTAAGTAATGCCTCCTGAAGTTAATAGCTTAACTCAAATGTCACTAAAATTTGGAGCCATATCCAAGGTACTACATCTTCAGCACAAACCTGTTTGGCAAAGCCATATAACTAAAGCCTTATTTTTATCTTTCTAGGCAGCCCAGACCTTCTTGGGTCTGAACCACTAAGAAACACCAATGACCTAGCTGGATAAATGCAGTTGTGTGACCTGTTTCCTCTGTTTGCATTAATGGAACAAGACCACTCTGTGCAGATAATGACCACTGCCTCAGCTGCTTCAGTTTGATGCCTTTCCATTGCTCCAAACACTTACAAGTCATGTTTTTACATCCTCTAGAACAGGGCCTTTTTCATCAGGTTAACTAACCAGACAAAACACATGCTCCAAGTTCCCACTGACTCCTTCCTATGTGTAGTGTAAGATACACCCAGCTGGGATGGATGCAGCTGGGAAGAGTGGTGGAGGACCAGAGAAGTGCAGCTTTTTACTGGCATCCAGCTGTCCCCTGCAGCCTTGTGTCATTTGCTGTGGCCACTGCTGCAAACTAGACAGCCCAGACATTTTTATGAGGATTGCCCTTGTCCTGTGAACTCGGGTCACTGGTATATAAGGCTAACTCTGCCTCACCAGTGCTCCTGATTCACAAGCAACAGCAGCCCAGAGCTCTGCTGGGCTGCTCTGTTTCGGTCTGCTGGAACACGAAGCAGATTTGTGCTGAACTGGAACTGCAATGAAGTGTGACTAGGCTGCTTTTCCTTATGACCCTACAAGGGCTTTGAGGGCTCCCAGTGAAAAACAAACTTCCTGCCATTTACATTCTAAGCCTGGAAACTCAAGACAAAAGTTTCTGTCAGAAGTAAAACTCTTGCAGAGACTTTATCTGTCTTGTCCTGTGCTGCTACTTTCACTTGTAGTATTTTTAATAATATTATCACTTCATAGTTTCCAAGCTTCTGAATCCAGGGAGTGAGATGCTGTGCTGGGGCAGGCAGCCGACTCTTCAGAAAATGACTCAGGACTGGGCTAACAGCTGGATGTTATCAGAAGTCTAATAAGCAGATCATCATCCCCTTCCTTTACACTCCAAAATACTTACAGGATTAAGAGCTAATAACTTTTTTTCCCTCTTGGCAAGACATTTATTTTCCTATAGCAGGTGCTCTTTTGTTCACATTATGTTAGTTTGTTTTATATACAGGTAGTAACTACAGTGCTTGCAAAGAGTAGCCTAATGCTATAACTGACTTTCTGAAGAGCTGTACGAACATGTCCTCAACTGAAAAGGATGGCAGTCTGTGAACCCTTGTATTCTTTCCCTTGGCTGTATCTTTGGGATATGCACACTGTGCCACGCAGTACTATTAAGTCCTGAAAAATGTCTTGGATAAGCTTCTAGAAAAGCACTGGAGTATTATGTAAAGGAAAGACCTCTTTTTCAAACACATTGCAGACATGCTTGGCTTTTACCAGTAAAAAAAGACTTGCCTGTATTACTTTTGTTAAATTTTATGTAAATGAACACTAAACCAAGGATGCTTATAAACTGAAACTGGTTTTTGAACATCAATAAAAACAAGCTGGGCAGTGTTTGAGAGAGGGAGCGGATGATGTGAGATTTCATGATCAGAGCAACACTAACAATAAAAGTTAAATCTCTGTAAATAACCCTTAGTATACATAGGATTAGGCCCCAGAGGCAGACACGGAAACCACGGGATTTGGAAATTTAGAAACGTGAATGACTTCTTGAATACACATAAAGAATTTTTGCTAAAGTCACGCAGAGGTGTGTTTGCAGAAGACTCAATGTATTCCTACAAACTGGCTATGACTGTTATTACAACCTTAAGAAAACAGAAAATAAAAATAGAGGTGATGTGTACAGCTAAATAATGAATGGCATCTATGCTCTGCAGCCCCAAGAATGGAATCACAAATTAACACTACCTGTAAAAATGCTGTTGACTTCAGTGGGATTTTTCAACCATTACTCTGAGCTTTATGATCAGACCCTGCAAACATTTAGATATGCATTTAAAATTAATCCTTTTTATAATGGTTCTTGTCCATGAGAATCTTGTCTGTGCACCTGTAGAGCTGAGCTTGCATTGGTAAAGATTCACCATGATTATGGCTTCTGTAAACTTTAACAAGTAGCACCCATCCTGTGCTATTGGCAGAGTTTTGTAGGTCAGCCCATATCACTAATACTATTTAAGCAACTCTGAACCATAGGAGTAGCCAAGGACCATGACCCTTGCAGAACCTCCTTGTACAAGCAAGCTTTCTGGATATCATTGACTGTCCATTTAGTAATGCTGCTAAAAAGGACAAGCAGCTCCTGGATGGGTGCCACAAACTGGCACACAGTCTGCCTGATGGATTTCATGAAATGATGATTTCATGGCAAAGCTTCTGCTGCTGGCTTTATTTTTTTAAAAAAACTGGGTAATTTTTAGGTCAGCTTCCTGAACTGCTGAACAAATCCAACATGCCTAACTGCCTTCAGGGAACTCTGCTGTCTCTTTATAGGTCTGCAGAGTAAAGAGCAATTCATGTGATTAAACTTTGTGCCCTGAGTTATATACTGATCTCCTGTGGCCATCAGGGTGGAATTTCAGTATCAGACAGATGAATACTTTTCTGCTAACTTTTGCTTTAAATACCACCTGTTGGTTGCTGCTAGCAGCAGGACTGGGGACCAGATGGATCTGTGGTGCAATCCATGTACAACCCCTGTATCTCTGGGTTGCAGCAAGCCAAAAATGATGTAAGTCTTGATTTTTGTATAACCAAATTAAAAGACCAAGTAATGGAAAATAAATAGTAAGCACAGAACAAAGATAAGGAAAGAAGCTACATAAGGATTATCTAAGCTTTAAGCCAGTCAAACCTAATTCTTCCACACTTAGAATGACAAACTTGGGATACAGGCGATGCAGGGGGGTGAACAGATCTCTGAGTAATATATTTGATTCTTTCTCATAAATGCTGATATGAAAAAATTTCAGTTTAACTGAACAGTCATCTGAGCAGAAGAATTACAAACAGCAGTGTTAAAACAGCTGGGAGCAGGTGCCTAGGGAGATATACAGGGGAAGGTAAGTAGAGCCAGACTTAATATCTTTAATATTAATGACCTGGAATAGGGTGTGTAAACATTATGTTAATGAAATCTGCAGATGGTAACAATGGGAACTGCTGCAACACCACTGAAGACATAGAAACAGCATAAGATATCTCAGACGTTAAAATGCAGGTCAAAAAGAAAGACTCTATGCACAGAGCAAAAATGAATTGCACCGTAAGTTTTTAGGTGCAGAAAAGAAGTCAGAGAGCAGGATGTCTGTGAGACACACCAAAACAGAGCAGGCATCTTGATGCAAATTTAAAGTAGTCGAACCCAGCCCTTGAGCAGTGTCCTATAGTGTACAAGAGCAGTCTACTTAGTGAATTTATTTCACTACTAAAACAACTTCAGTGATTCAAAAGACAGTTCAGGAGACAGCAATGAATCAGTGAAGGGGAGAAATTTATGAGGAAAGATTGAATTAAATGTGAGTAGGCTTGTCAAGAAGGTTCTGTATTGCAGAAGACAGCTGTAAGCAGTTTTTCAGATTAAAACCCCAGCCATGGAGAAGAAATCGTTGGGATTGTGTAAATTAAATCGGTTAACCATTGACAAAGTGTCATGTAACATCACTTGCAGGTTCTTAATGGAGAGCTGCATGTCCTTATCAAAGATACACAGTAGCTCTAATGGGATGAGGGAGCTTGCTTCCAGAGTACTTGGGTGAAGACTGTAGAATAAAACTGATCTTCATATCTAGCTTCAAAATCTATGACATAGCAGGTTGGAATAGCTAATGCACTTTAGCAATCTTATATTTTACACTTTCATTACAAATCTTAACGTCTGTTGGTTTCTCAATGCACACTAATGATACAGTAAAACCATAGTCACAAAAAAAAAAAAAGCTGTAAATGGGATCTGTTAACTGGACCGTGTGCTCAGTTCTCTTCAACCTAGAGAAACAGTTTTTCACCTAAATATATTTTTAGATTTTGCTTTTAATAGTATACTTTTTTCCCCCCGCTATCTTTCAAAATTCCTAGCTTGGAGATGTCATCATGTTACTTGTATGTGAATGGTTAGTGGTTTGTTTGAAAACATTTTGATGAAAAGTACGGTGGATTTACAGCTTCTTAATAAACTTTTTGTAAGCAAGCCCCAAAAAGCAACTGGTTCTCTGTTAAGAAATAAGCCTATTCAGAGGCCCAACTGAAAATAAACATCTGCCTAACGAGATGTAAGCATGGAAGGCATTGTTTTCAAAACAGAAGAACAATTTTCTGATAGCAATACTTGATGTATCTGATTCTGATAGCAAATATTTGGCAAAACCATCATAAAAATTACCTGAGCCTAGTTGTAGGTGTTTCATTCATCATACTTGCTTTGTGCACGCTTAGGTAGCTTAAAAATCCTCAGTCTGCTTAGAGAAAATGTATTACTAAAAATACTTTGTTTATGAAAAACTTACTGAGCAAATAAAGCATTTTTCTCTCGGTAGGATTACTTCTTAAACTAAAAGTGGGCAAAACCCATGCCACAGAATGAATGTTTATTGGAGACCACTAACAAGGAGATATTTGTTTGCTGAATACACGGTAACTGCATCAAAGCATATGGGAAGGATAATGCACAGAAAGTAGCAAGAAAGTCAGTTCCTTTTAGGTATGGGCATGTTTTACCTTCCTATTGTCTGCAGTATCTTTACAGAAAGATGAAAACAGAGAACTCAGTTCTCTTAGTTCTGTTAGTCTTACTAAGACAAACCACCAGAAGGCTTGATAGTCTTCTGAGAATGTGATCACACATTGGGTTTAGTGTTCTAGATAAGTGGTTTCCAAGCTTTTCCATAGCTCCCTGTAGAAATGCAGACCCTTGGTTTGTGTATTAATTAGCCTAAATTCAAATTTACTTTACTAAGTTATTTTTACGCCCCCTTAAAAATAGTCTGTGAGCCTCTGTTCCACCTCAGGGGAAGGAGGTTTGCAAAGCATAGGCTGAAAACACAGATGCAGAATACTGCTGTACTCATTCCTTGCCTACGCTCCTACAGCAAACTGGACAGCAATCCCTTGGGAGTGTTTGGTAAGTGAAGATACGGCTCTGCCTGTATGTAACACGAACACTGAGTGTACTCATGTATTTTAGAAACAGCAGAGCGTCTGGAGTTACATCTCAGGAAGAGATCTGAGCCCCCCTGGGGCTGCTACAGAGTCAGGAGGTGCTTCCTTGGCGGCGGTTCTTTGCTGAGGGTCCTCTGAGTGAACTTCACATATGACAATTTCCCCAAGCAACTTTCTGAGGGGTGGTCTGTGCTCCTGGGTGGGTGTGAGCTCCATCTCACGGCTCACTCCACCTCATTCGTTTCTCTTTCTGCCCATTAGACGTATTCCTCAGACAAGCTGTTTTTACGTAATTACCTTATATCGCCTTACCTAGACGGCTGCTTTAGCACCTTTCCTCCCGGCTGCTGCTCGGTGCCGCGGTCACCCCTCGCCCCCCCGATCATCCCCCGGGCACCGCGCAGGGAGAGCCGCAGGATCCCGGCGCCGCCGGCCCCACACGGGGACACCGGCCCGGCTCCCTTCAGCCCGCAAAGTCCCCTTGAGGCAGCTGGACCCCCCTTCCCGCGGCTCCCGGAGTCACCTGTAAGCCCAGGGCGATGCGCTGCGCAGGTTGACGGGGAGCCGGACCCTCTTGTCGGCGGCCGGGCGTCCCCCGGCGGGGCAGCTGGCGTTGTGCTGGCGGCCCGGCGGCTCGGGCTGCAGGGTGTGGTGGAAGGCGCTGAGCATGCCCGCCGCCAGCCGCCCGTACAGCTGCTCCAGCAGCTCCTCGGGTCGCTCTCCGCAGCTCCGGGTCCGCGCCGGCCGCTGCTTGTGCGCCCTGGCGGGCTCGGCGCGGAGCGGGAGCAGCGCCGCGCAGAGCAGCGCCAGCAGCGCCGCCGCCGCCCGCACCTGCAACGACGGCGCCGTCAGCGGGGATAGGACCGCGACCCGCCGGCACCACTCGCGCCCCGCAGCCCCCGGCCCGCAACCCGCAGCCCTTACCCTGCCTCGCTGCATGGCGGCCGGGCTGCTCCGCCTCGAGGGAGCCGCGAAAGGCGGCGGGCTGCGGCGCCGCGCCGTGCCACTGGCTCTCCCGGCGGAGGAGCTGTTGGAAAAGTGCCCCGCGCCTCACTGCATCTCCCCTGGCCTCGCCTGCCAGGAACATGTTCGGCGGAGCTCACGGAGAGGCGGCGAGGGCTCGACGCCGGGCGCGGGCCTGTCCCGCTCCCCGCCGCGCTGCCCCCGGCCCCGGCACAGCCCCGCGGGCACGGCCGGGCTCGGTCCGCCCACAGCTGCCGGCCCGGGCCCGGCCACCGGCCCAGCGCTCCTGCAGCCCGCGGGTGCCGTCGGCAGCCGCGCTCCCTCCCACCGCGCCCGCGGCACGGGCAAGGCCGGGGTCTGCTTGGCCCCGCCGGGACACGGCGTCCAGGGCTCGAGAGTGAGGCAGAGCCAGAGGGACTTGGCCCAGTCAGAGCCAAAGGGTCAAGGCTGGTGTGAAAAAACGCGGGGATTTACAGCTGGAAATAGCCCCGCCCTGGCTGTGTGACTGCAGCTGGGGAAGGGACCGCTGCAGCCCGGGCTCTCCCAGTCACTCTAGAGCAATTGGCACTGTCCCTCGTAGCGGTCTGGGATCTCCGACTTGGCAGCACCTCTGGTGCGTTTCTCCAGAAACATCCCCAGCAGGCACTGGGGTGGTTGATGTCCCTCATGAAGACTGGAACTGGCGAAGGTGAGGGCGCTTGGAGCTGTCTGTGCGACAGCCTGATCCGCCAGTTCCTCCTGCTCAGGTGGCCTGTGGCAGACACCCACTGTAGTGTCACTCTGCTCACTGGAAGAAGAGCCGCTTCAGAAGGTGAGAAACTTGCATGATACACATCTAGATGAGGTTGAGGTGAGTCTCACCTCTAATGACTTCTCCATCTATTCTGTGCTGGCTTGCTGGTACTTTTAAAAACACATAATGCAATGTATTTATTGTCTCTGGCACAACCTACAAAAAAAAGCATCTGTAGTATTCTGGATCATAAAAGATGTGGTACACTGAACTGGTCAGCATTAAAAACAGCCTTGAGAATTTATTACTTGAATCAAATGTTTCATGGGCTATATTAAAGCCCTGTACATCTATTGAGGCATTTAGTATAAGGATAGTCAATATGAAAATACTGATCAGGAATGAGGGGAAATAGGAATCATAAATCATACAAGGACTGAGAAACCCCAGCTTTGTACCACAGAAATACAAGACATCAGGTTCACCGACCAGACTGGAATTGAAACAGAACAAACTGGCATTCATAATGAAGTGACTTGATATCATGATTTCTGAAAAGTCATTGAGTTAAGTCTAACTGTGATTTTTTAGTGATTTTGGTACTGTATGCACCACAGGTCAGTATCACTTATGAGTAGTGTCTTAACCTTGAACTGTGTGGGATTTGAATCAGGTTTTGACTTTGAGGAAGGACTGTTTAAAATTGAATTAAAAACTTTCCTTTGGAGTCTTATCCTCAGGTGAGAGACTAGGGCAAGGCAGATTCCATTTAACTCAGTACAGTCTAACTCCTGAGCTCGGCGCTGCACCTGGCCTTGTGTTACTTCAACACCTTCCAGTGATATGTGTGGTACCATGGCAAATATTTATCACAGAAGATCTTTTTATATTACTCCTTCGTAGATAAACTGGTATCTTTTCTCAGTGCTTTCTGAGTAGCGTAAGGATGTCACACTTGGTTTTCCAAAAGGAATTTTAGGCACTTCCTTTATATTGGCCTTTCTGGGAGAGGTCTGCCTCAAAAAATCGGAGCAGATGAAGAGAAAACAATGGCACAAGCATCAAATTGCCAGTGAATTTAAGGCTTTGAGTCTTATTTAGGCAATATTCTAATTCTGTACATTACTTGCATTGTACTGTCTTATTAACAATCTCATTGATTCAAATAATAAGAATCACAGAAGGGCAGCAAATGAGATTCTATTACACAGGATCTGAAAGAGTACAATGACAGTTCTCGTGGCATACTCTACCCCAGAAACATCTGAGTTATAAAAAATTCACTGATAGATTTGGCAAATTAGGTTCTTCTCTGACTTCAAGAAATTACTAACCAGTGTCATTGTCATTGCAGCTGATCTGTAAGTTTCTCAGAATTTGAGGGGGGCTTAAAACATCTATGTAATTAAATACTGGAAAAGAATATTTATTAATACAAAGTCTGTCCTGAATTTGATGCAATACATGATAATATTTCAATCAATGATTTCAGAATAACAGGCATATGCACCTGTATGTGAATCTATAGGGAATTCCATGGCTCATGCTGTTTGCTAAGAGAAAACAGGGCAGTGAGATGTTTTCCTTTGATAGCCTCAGCTGAAAATTCCCAGCAACGGGAGCACAGAACATCCAGCCCATGCTCTTGACAACAGGGTCAGCTGGAGCAGCAACCCTCCATTGCCATGGGCAGCCCCTGCCTCCCTGCCTGTGGTCCTCCCAGCCTCATGCCAAGGCTACCAGTGCCAAATCTCACAAGCATCCAAGAGACACCCATTGCAGGCTGGCTATGTCACCATCCCCACAGTGACACGGGCCATTGCCAGTCTGCTGCCCACCATCCGGTTCCCACTGCATCACTGGGCTTGATGCCAGAAGTTGGTGTCATTTTCAATTCCTTATCTTTATATCAGTGTCCTTGTAGAAAGTAGTAAATCTCTCTGGCTGAGTGGGGGAGGAAAGGAGTGGACCATGGTCTGGTCATGTCCTTGGGGTGAGCCTCCAGTTCTGGAGGACAAAGGAGGAACAGCCACCATCTGTTGCACCAAAGGCGCCCCCTGCCTTCGCCCTGCTCATGGAAGTGCAGGAGCCCTCCCTTCCCTGCCCTCCTCCCTGCCCTCTCCTCTCAGCCCCCCCTCACCTGCCAGCCTCCAGTCATGAGTGTTCTTCTCGATGGTGTCCCAACCTTCTGGTGTTTCCCCTTAGTGTTCCAACAACATATTATCTTTAACTTTCCAGTTTCCTGACCCAAATGTATTACAAATGAAGATAACAGTTCATCTCCTTATATGAAAACATTTAATCTATAGCCTGATCAAATCTTCACATTCTATTTTATTGGATTCTGGTGACCTTCATGGTGTGCCTTACCACTTCTTATCCTCCTTTATTCCCCTTATATTATCCCTTTTTAACCAAAACAAAGAGTAAATTTTGAGAAGAAGGGGAAGAGAAACTTGTCACTTATAGGAGAGACAGAAGGAAACGTACTTCTTTCACTTTTACATAATATTCTAAATACTCTTTCTGGCAATTGTCATTCAACATTTATACTTGGGAGGGGCATCTGCCTCTCTCCTGAGATTATCACCATAGTGATCAATGCCAGATAATAAGAATTTCAGTTCTACAAAACCCTGCTATGAGAAAGTCAGGATGTTCAAAAGAAAACTAAGCTGTGCAAGAATAAGGCAGACATTTTTAGTGAGTTGGTATGAATAAGAAGAAACATTTTCTGATGTGGTTCCATCAGAGCATTTCATGCCATGTTAAACACTGAAATGTGTTTAATGAAAAACACAGAAGGTTTGTGTCTTCATTGTTCCAGACACATTAACGAGCAACAAGCAACCTTGTCAGGACTTTTTCTTGGTTGGGATTGTTGTCTTCCATAGCCGCCCTTGCATGATAGCTGATTCCAGATACTTTGGCTCACACATAAATAAATCACATTATTTTGACAAGCATTATTAATGATACCACATAATGTGCTTGTCACAGCAATGGCAGAACTGCCCTAAACTGGCATATTCCAAATGTTTATCCCCATCCTGCTACAGCAGTGTGTACATTAATGAGATCCTGTCTCTATCTGAAATAATGATCTGAAAAACATTTAAAAAATCATCATAGAGACCTTAAAGTTGAACGACTTGTATTGTGGGTGGACCAAACATTCAGCTGCCATCACCAGTAGGTATAAATCTTCAGACAAAGAATTAAATTATTCCCCAAAGATACCCTTCTCCTTCGCATTCTGTTTGCAGATAACCTGTCACCCAAATTGTTCTGTTCCCATTCATCTTCCCTGCACTTGTAAGGATTGTAATACCACTTTGCAGCTTCCACGGCATAACATCTTCTACAGCAGGATCTCAGCATTGAGATTTACAGTTGTTAGGCAATTCAGCATTGCAAAAGTGAAATTCTTGCAAAGTGAAGAATCCTCAATGGACTTCATTTTGCAAAGGTGGAAACCAAGGAGCAAACAGGTTAAAAATAGCCTTTCTACCAAAAAGGTGCCTTTGACATCAAGAACAATTAAAGCCTAGCAAATTAAATTAATTTCTAACAGTCTGAGACTATGCTAGCAAAGGAACCAAGAAGAGAAACAGCACTTCTTCATAATACCTGCAGATCTATTTAATGGCAATTCCAAGCACAAATACAGGCTATGTGGACAATGGATTGAGAGCCCTGAGGAGAAGGACTTGGGGGTGTTGGTTGATGAGAAGTTCAATGTAACCAAGCAGTGTGCACTTGCAGCCCAGAAAGCCAATTGTATCCTGGGCTGCATCAAAAGCAGCATGGCCAGCAGGTTGAGGGAGGGGATTCTGCCCCTCTACTCTGCCCTTGTGAGACCCCACTTGGAGAGCTGCATACAGCTCTGGGGTGCCCTGCATTGACCTGTTAAAGCAAGTCCAGAGGAGGCCATGAAGATGAACAGAGGGCTGGAAAACAGGCTGAGAGTTGGGGTTGTTCAGCCTGAAGAAGAGAAGGCTCCAGGGAGATCTTAGAGTAGCCTTCTTGTACATAAAGGGGCCTACTAGAAAGCTGGAGTGGGACTTCTTACAAGGGCCTGTACTGATAGGACAAGGGGGAATGGCTCTAAACTGAGAGTAGGTTTAGATTAGATACTAGGAAGACATTCTTCACTGTGAGCGTGATGAAACACTGGAACAGGTTGCCCAGAGAAGCTGTGGATGCCCCATTCCTGGAAGTGTTCAAGGCCAGGTTGGATGGG